AGCGTCCCACAGCTTGACTGTGTTGTCCCAAGATGCCGACGCTACTGTCTTGCCGTCTCGCGAGAACACTACCGCGCTGACCTGACCTGAGTGTCCTTGAAGCGTGTGCTGCTCAGCACCAGTGCCAGCGTCCCACAGCTTGACTGTGTTGTCAGAAGATGCCGACGCTACTGTCTTGTTGTCTTGCGAGAACACTACCGCGTTGACCCCGCCTGAGTGTCCTTCCAGTGTCTGCAGCAGCGCGTTCCAGTCGCTCTCTACTTGGGGCGACCTCTTAATGCATACTGGAAACTTGTGGGCAAATTGCTGCTTTACTACGCTGTTACTCGGTGTAAACATGAGTGTGCTGTAGTACACTTGCAGAGGTGCTTGTTCGACCGCTGCTCGGCCATACCATGCAAATCGTTTCATGTCATGAACGAATGCACGCAACTGACTGGAGTCTTCATCCTGCGCAATCATTATCCTCTGATCGTTATTTCTCAAGCGATAACTTACTGGAATAATCGACTCAAGTAAGCTTATAGCGTGAATCCCTTCGGACACCTTTCCTAGCCAGCCCAGCGCCTCGAGCCAGTGCAAGAAGTGTTCCTTCAGAAACATGTGCACTTGATCACCATCGTGAAGCTGTAAGGACCCTTTCGTGAGATGCTGCATCCAATTAGCGCAGGCGTATTGGACTTCCGGTTTGATGTGTTGTGCAACACGGTCTTTTTCCACAGCCGCTACTAGTGTACCAGCAGCTTTGATGCCACAGATGTCTTGCTTAAGCGTACTCGACATCAGCTGGATGCAATTGGCAGCCAGAGCTGCATGCGCTTGCTTCTTGTCTACCCAAAAGTTCACGTCGACGCACCTGTCTTTGCTGAAAAGAAAGTCGCGAAACGAAGGGTGATGCAGACGTATCAATTGGCCCTGGTCCTTTGGTATGTCAAGGATGGCATGCAACTCTTTCAGCATTCGATTGACCCTCTGCTCTGGGATCAGTATTAGCATGCTTAACGATAGGATGGAAAGAGGCGAGGACAAAGCTACGATGCTCCCAAGAATCTGCCGCATCATGCTGTGGTACCTAGCTAGTTCTCGTGCAGTGTAGCTGCTCTGGACGGACTTTTGCAGAACGGTCATATACAGTTGACTAAGGTGTTGTTCTGGACTAGCTGCGCTGTCACAATCACTGCCATCAGCAAGCATGTGTAGCCGCTCTTCCGCAAACAGACCTTCGCTAATAAAGCGGCATGCTGTCGCAGCCCAGATGAACAAGCCACTTGCACTTCGAACCAAGCTATGGATGACTTCTGCGCCCGGCCAGCCGAGTGCCTGGCCATCCTCTTGGCCAATCAGGTCAAGTCTATATTCGAGGAAGAGCCGGATGTCGTGGTCGATAATTGACGGCGACACTTTGTGCAGCACAAAGTCCCGGCGCTCTGCGTCTGGCACTTGTCCCAGTCCATATTGGATCGGCACCTCAGGCCTGCTTGTGAGGAATACTCGCAGCCGCACATACTTCAACGACCCGGACATCGCCAAGAGCTGCACGATGAGTTGCGTGTCATTGCTGCCTTCACATTCGTCAAGAGCGTCAATCACCAGCACATATGTTGCTGGACTCTCCAACTTCGACAGCGGCTGAAGGACGAGATATTGCCACTGGTCGCGCAACGACTGACTGGCAATCTCAGGACGTTGTATAAGGGCATTACTGATATGGCGGCGGACGCCAGGTACGTTCCGTGCAAGCTGAACCGCAATGCTGGTGACGAATCTGCCCGCCCGACTGACATCGCCCCCGCCTCTGGAGAAGAAGAAGCTGGCACCGAGACGCTGCTTTGCATGGTACCCGCGGGCGACCGAGCGTGCAACTGTTGTTTTGCCAGTGCCAGCCAGGCCGCTCAGCCAAAAGATGTGTTGTTCGCCCGCTCCATCTGCCCATTTGTAGATTTTGTTCAAGAGATCAACACGGGTGTTGGGGAGGCAGGTCGCTTCATGCTGAGAGGTATTCGAGTTGAAAGGCGCGTCAGGAGCGTACGGAAGGCGAGCGATAAAGTCATCTGTAGTTTCATCATGTCAGCGAAGAGGCCAACTCTGTTGCAGCCAGAGAGCTGAGCTGAACCACGCACCGTCTTGAATTTCCTTTTGCAACCTCGTGAAGGCTTTGTCTACTCCCTCGCCATAGTTTGGCAGCATGCTGACATTGAAGAGACCCAACAGAGAATACGCCTTGTCCTCCCCATGCGTCGTTTCACGATCTTCTGCCCAAAACATCCGCTCGTCGACGCTGAATTCGTCTAAAGGAGCATTACGAAGGGCACGAAGCGGAATCTTAGTAACCTCATGCAGTACTTGCTCCAAAGACACCTTATCGCCTAATCGGGTGCCATATGAATCGAAGAACTCTACCGACCGAGGCGCGAGAAGCTCTTGAAGCGTCCAACCGCGGCTGAACCATCTGCTGCTGCGGAAAGCTGGTTCCCAAGATCGTGACGACGCATCAATGCTCTCGCCATGCCTTGTCAATACGTCTCTGAGATACACATAGCATCTCACTGCACCGCCATACCAACGGAACATCGACGTGATGGCTTTCGAAAGCTCAGCGCTGCTACTTTTGTCAATACAGCAGGTATCCACCCAGAAGTAGCGCAGACCATCGTTCGCAGCCTGCTTCCCACACCAGCGAAGCTTCTTGTATTCGGCTTTCGTTGTTCCCGAACCATTGTTCAGGTCCGCAAAGCTAACTTCTTCATCGTCTCGACCCCATGTATGCGAGAGGATGGCATATGAGCGGGAGGAAACCTCTTCGTCGCTGAGGTCCTTGGTTAGGCAAAGTTCGCCGTTCTGGTCGAACTGCAAGAGACGCATCGTGCGACACAGGCATTGTAGGGCCCTCGAGGCAGAACAACGCTCACGTTTCAACAGGTCTCGAGTGAGGGAGTGCGCATCGTCGTATGTCGAGATTTGCAGCAGTGTGATGAGCAGGCAGCAGCGGCGGCAGAGCAACCGCGTGGGGATCTAAAAGTGGGCCCCGCCAGTCATGAGTCTATCTTTAGCGAACCGCCAACTTGGCCAAATTGGCGCTTCCCCAACTTGTCTTTCCCGCCCGACCCCTCCGTTACTCCAGTCCTCACAGTAACAGCTGTGCAGAACAGGCAGGACGTAGGCATAGTCACGAAGGTACTGACAGAACTGATCGATCACGTGGGATTCGAGGTGCACCTTCTGTTATCGTCACAAGACGAGGTTCCTGCATCCACCTACTATCACCGTAAGGATGGGAGAAAGACGAGAGTGCAGAAAGCACAACAGCAGCAGTACCTTACACCAGGCGAGGAGAAGGCTTTGGCAGCTTATCTCATACATGCGTGCATCAGTGGCAACCCTAGAACTCCCAAAGACCTACGCTCCATTGCATACACGATCAAACGCCAACGATCCTCCCGCTTTCAAGCCTCTGCAACCGACGAAGAGCTCAAGCCCCCGAACAAGAGCTGACTGCAAGAATTCTACAAGCTTCACCCAGAGATAACGGCGCGGAGAGTGAAGGCACTAGATTGGAGCCGACACGACAAGCACATCTATGAGAAAGTGGCAGAGTGGTTTGACGTGATCGGAAAGCAGCTGGATGCTCCGGACATCGTGCCGGAGAACGTGTACAACATGGATGAAACGGGAGTGCTTCTGAGCTCTCTGGCCTCGCTCAAAGTTTTGGTAGGTAAAGGCGACATGCGTGACTATAGAGGCGCCGGCGTCAAGCGCACACTTGTCACGGCGATCAAACGCATCTCAGCAGACGGTAGGTACCTCTTTCCTCTCATCATATGGCCTGCCGTAACGCATCGGAGCACGTGGACCACCCGTCCCACGCCTGGCTGGCATTTCGCCTGCTCGAGCACTGGGTACACCAACTCTCAGATTAGTCTGTACTGGATAAAGCGTGTATTTGACCCCCTCACCAAGGTGCGAGCAGGCAAGAAGCCACGAGTCCTGATCAGAGATGGCTTTGGAACGCATGAATCGTTGAAAGTGCTCAAGTTCTGCTACGAGAACAACATAATCCTGTGCCGGCTCCCGTCTCACACCTCGCACAAACTGCAGCCTTGTGATGTGGGCGTATTCGGTCCTCTGAAGACAGCGTACCGTGAGCAAGTGGAGCGTCTGTATCGTGGAGGGGCGAACACAGTAGGCAAAGAGCACTTCACAGCCCTGTACAGCCGCGCGCGTGGGGTAGCGTTTACGCCCCGAAACATTCGAGGTGCGTGGAAGGGGGCGGGTCTTTACCCATTCAGGCCAGACAAGCCACTGGTCGCACAGACCTTGGCAAGACGGGCCGGCCCGGACGCCAGTCACGCCAGTAACACCTATAACCATGGATGCCTTGCTGTCTTTGCGCCAACGGCTCGAGAAGAGCGCCCGTGCTGCCGAGGGCCCCAGCACAGTGCTAGTCCAGAAGCTGGCTAATGCAGCTGAGATAGCTTTCGCTGAGCGCAACCTCTTATTCAACGACAACAGTCCTGCTTGACCAGAATAACGACAGCAGAACACGTCAGTCGGTAAAGAATGCGATTGTCGGAAGAGCGAAGACAATAGGGTATGCGGAGATCGTGGAGGCCCAGCAAAAGCGCGACGAGAAGGAAGCCCGACCCAAGGGCGGCAGCAGAGGCAAGCGTAAACAGAAAAATCCTCTGCCGGTAGTCGACGGCAGCGGGAACGTGCAGTCTAGGGAGTTGGAGCAAGACGAACGTGAGATCAAAACATCTGGGCTGAAGGAGTTTTGCTCTATCTTGCGATTCGAATGATCTAACACGAAGGGGGTCAGGGTCAGGGATATTCTAGCGTTACTTAGACCCATTCGGGTAAAACATAGACAAATTTGATTTTCATTGATATGATGTACTTCCCTGTCCATTTTACAAATTGCTGGAAATACCAAGGACTGATGCCGTTGTCTGCATGAGCGCGCTGAGCGTGCAAGGAGAGCAGGTCAGCAGGAGAGCGTGTCAGCGGCTGGCTAAATGAATGCTTACAGTAAGCGGCACGAACGCTGTGACGGTGCGTAGTCGTGGCTGGATATCGATACGCGTGATATTGTGTACGAGACTTCTACGGCGGACCATTGAAGCTACTCCCCGTCAGTCAGTCTCGGGGCGAACTGCGAAATCTCATTATCTCAAGGATGTGCAAATAGAAGAAACCCCGAATTGGGTCACAAGCGATTGTGCATCAGTAACATGACAGCAGAGGCTCAAAGGAACTCCTAGCTGGATGCAAGATCAGGGACAATCAGCGCTTGCAATTCGTATTACCGAACTCGTGATGCTTAAATGACTGTCTGTTTGGATATTAACTTCAATTTACGATAGGAGAAGCGATGCAGTTTTGACTGACGACTAACTTTAGAAGCTGGCTAGTGAAGTGAGGTGTTGTGGCCGTCGCAGTCCACAAAACACTTGCATTGGTATTGTGGTACGAGGGGTCTCGCTTCGGTTGGATCTACCGGTAGTTTAGCGATAAAATACAGTCATCACTTTTCGGTCTTTTCAACACAGCTGGGGCGCTCGGTTATCAGCCCCCGCTTGATGAGGCTTCAGGTCATCACTACAGCACAGTGAGCTCAGGTGTCTGAGTACCTCGCTCGGCATATGATCTTCTGTTGTCTGTCGACAGCTTGACAAGCTCTTAGACAGCTCACGCGAGTTTCAGGGTAAGTCTGAGGCTGGCCGGAGTGACGCTGTTGAGTATGCCAGTAAGGTGTGTCCCTAGGTAGAGAGACACCCTGTGTAGAGAGGCAGGTTGGCGGTTCGGAGCTTCGGCACCTCTCATTTGCAAATTTGTAAAGCTGCCGTTGATCTATAATGGTCATATAACTTTTTCTTCTCTAGATCAATCGCCACGGTGTGAGGTATGCTGTTGATCATTTCGTCAACGTTGTCAATCAACCCTCCGGCAATAACCCCTCTGTTTGTTCGTGACTTTGTAAATCCGCTCAACTCTCGGGGGCTAGAGGGAATGTCCTATTAGGGAAGTTGGTTAGTCCAGCCTTTGGAGATTACTTTAGCCTAGGAAAGTTCTAGGATCAAGGCAAGAGGAAGAGATGAGATGGATTTATGATACTATCTACGAGTGATGAGGTGCTTCTATATAGGCACCAGGCACAAAGCCACGATCGCGTGCATTGGTTCGCCCTCCTACACCTTGTGTCGCTCCCTACATGCGCTGACTCAAAACGCTGAACGCCTGCTTCAGTGTTGCCATCATCCTAATATATCAACCAGAATACAACAACAGAGTTGCTCGGGCCTTCACACGAAGTCCTTCTGCTGCAGTTCGTCAGCATTCTTGTCGAGCAGCATCTTGACTACCTGCTCGTGCCCTCCTGCTGAAGCTGCTTGCAGTGCATTGCTGTAGTATTCACCCTGCGCGTTGACGTCAGCATTCTTGTCGAGCAGCATCTTGACTATCTGCTCGTGGCCTCCTGCTGAAGCTGCTTGCAGTGCGTTGCTGTAGTATCCGGCTTGCGCGTTGACGTCGGCCTTGTTGTCAAGCAGCATCTTGACTACCTGCTCGTGGCCTCCCTCGGAAGCTGCTTGCAGTGCGTTGCCGTACTCTCCTCCCTGCGCGTTGACGTCGGCCTTGTTTTCAAGCAGCATCTTGACTACCTGCTCGTGGCCTCTGTATGAAGCTGCTTGCAGTGCGTTGCCGTAGTATCCGCCTTGCGCGTTGACGTCGGCCTTGTTGTCAAGCAGCATCTTGACTACCTGCTCGTGGCGTCCCGCTGAAGCTGCTTGTAGTGCGTTGCCGTAGTATCCACCCTGTGCATTGGCCCCGGCATGTTTGTCAATTAATACCTGAACGACGTCCAGGTCGCCGTTGAGGCACGCGTAGTATAATGAAGTGTTATCGCTCCCGTCTTTCTCGTCGACTTCGTACCCTCCATCTAACAGTCGGATGACTGCACTTGTCAGCCCTGCGGAAACTGCCAGGTGTAAAGCATATTTTGGGGGCGTTTGGTCGACCCATTTTTGTCTTACAATGGGAATGTTGTAGAGACTAGTGCTGTATACAATTGTATCCGGAGTTACACGGAACTTCATGTTATTAAAGCGCTCTTCGATATTGCCGTAGCCGTGGCCATCTTGCAAAACCTTGATTTGCAGGATTGCTGCAAGATACGGACTCTCTTGCCGCAAGAGTGTCTCTAGTTGAATCATAACACCGTGAGGAGGCTCATCGCAATTCGAAATATGATAGTCGAAGCTCTGACATGCATAGCCAGCCAGAACGTTTTTGTGAAGTCGATCGAAAAGGTTCCAACTGTACTGAACTGGTTTGTTGAATGCCGTTAGCTGTATGTACTCGAGACACGCTAAGCCCAATTGTCTATGCGCAGAGTGCGAGTCTAGAAGCTGCGCGCGTATAGTATGCTGCGGCATGCTCTGAACGGTGGGTGTAAAGAACTCCTGCACTGTGTAGTGAATCGGCCGGATTGACCCATTGGCTTCTTCTAGTAGGTTGCCACAAGCTTCAAGGATTACTTGAGGGGAGTCGATCTGTAGATCCTGTCGAACTGTGCACTTCGAGTTGATCGCAATTGCGTGTTGTAATTCCCGAGTGCTGAGAGGCCTCCGAGCATAGACTGTCAAAATGAGACAGTTGAGTGCCAAATCCCTCATGTACGGAGACTGGACTTCAATCCGCTCTAGTATCCGAACGTAGGTGTCTGGCAAGCCCTGGGGGAGTACCTCCAGTGCAGCTTCCACCACTTGGTCCTTCTGGGCCTTGCTGGCTTGACAGAGACTGTCTAGTTGAAGATTGACCCAAAGAAACCTGTGTCACATTCAGCCTGCAAAAACCTCTACGCTAACCGCTAGGCACAAACTTACATCCCTTCCGCCTTTGTAGCAAGTGTCTGAATGATCTTTTCCTTGAGTCCATTGTTACTGATGTACAGGGTCTTTCCATGCTCCCCAGTCCTAAACTTTTCAACCTGACTGCGAGCAAAAGTCTCTATATTGGCAGTAACATTCTTGGTCTGGATCTGAATCGTAGGTATGTGCTTGTCTCCAAAGGCTTGGGCAATGTCCATTTCATTTCGACTGGTGACAAACACCTTGACGTGGCATCCAACCTGCGCCGTTACTATACCGGTAATGAACCCAAGGATGTCTCCTCGCTCTTGCTCTGGACACTCGTCTAGAGCGTCAAACACCACGTATATCTGAGATAGATCTTCGACGAGGGAAACGAATCTTTCCTGTGTACCCACCAAAGACGGAGACAACGCATCATGCTTTGTTTGGAGCAGGCCATGGGATAATTTGTCTTTCCTTCGACACAACTGCTTGAGTAGAACAGTGACAATCTGATGAAGCTCTTTCAGTTGCGTGTTTCGGTAATTGTAGTAAGCAAAGCAGAGGGCAACATCCTCTCGCAGTCCGATCTTACCCGTGATATCTTCGATTACATTGGACCTAGACCGCAGATAAGAACAAGGTTTTCCAAACAAGACAGGTTTTGCATTCACTTACGCAAGCACGGATTTGCCGATCCCGGCTGCAAGTTGTCAGCAGGCCATACCTACAAGAGAAGCACAGTGTTGCTTACGTTTTCCATGGCACCACAGGAGAGACGAGGCGGCGCTATAAAACCACTGCTGATACTTTGGTTCCCTTATCAGCCAGTCGCAGGTCTTCTCGTGCTTCTTTGCATAAGTGTCCTGGTGAGTCTTCTCGAAATCGATGCTTGACACCCAAGCGAGGAACGCCGACCTTTCCTTCCCTGACGGTGTGTTAACGACATAGCTGCGCGCACAACAACAACAGTATAGACAGTCTTACTTTCTTCTTCACGGCGCCTTGCCTGCTCAGCTTTCCTGGAAAAGTCAAAATGCAGTGACTGGACAGAACGCAACAGTATATCAAGATGATGCTGCAGATCTTCTTTGATGGTTGCAAACTCAGATTCAAACGTCTCCCAGTGCTGTCGCATGAACGCTCTAAGAGATGTCCATTTTCGCTGGTCGCCGTTGACATCAACAAACACGCGACGCGCCTTCCAGCCAAAGCCGAGCACGTTTGTGTAAGCATTGACCACCGTCGTCTCTACAAGATCGATATCTACCGCCTTCGCGTATTCTGCTAGAGGACCCAGGTAGTCTTCGAACGTGCAGATCATGTCAGTCAACTTGCTGAAATACATGGTGAACTTCAGGGCGAGGTCGATGACGACCCTGACCGAGCCAACCACCAGAGATGATATTTCAGGGCTTGCCTGGATGCCTATAGCAACGCCTCCCATGAATCTGTTGAGCAGATCTAGGAACTTTGAAAGACGCTCAGCGTGGGGTCTGAAGGTTGAGTCCTCCTTGTGCGCCGCATCGTACGTTTGTACGCGGGAAAGCAAGGTTCGCTCGTCAATGGTCTTTGGCGCCTGCGCAAACGCTGCTTTCTCAGCCTCAGGGAGCTTCTCTAATGTTTTCGCTAAGGCCTTCTCTAGCACCAAGCTATGTGACGTTGTCGCGACCGACAACCCTCCACTCGATGCAGTCGGACATGGCGGGGACGATGGAAGTGGAGTCCGAGGAGAAGTCGTTTGTTGCCCAGGCGGTAGAGGAACTGTGCGGGGTGGAGCTGAACGGGTAGTGTCCGATGCGAACAATGCGCGCACGCGGTCTCATTTTCGCATCATGAATTAAAGTCGTAGGTCTGACGACCATGTCTGGTATGGACGTGTTGTATGGAAAAAGAGATAGTTCCCTTGAGCTTGCAACAAGTTTACGACGTTGTGGGGTAGGCTCCAGGCTCAGCTAGCTGCGCCTCTTTGCAGCATCGTCCTGCAAGGCAACTGGAACCTGCACGCCTAACATCGTTTGCTGTCAGCTGCCTGCGACAAAGATCGGTTGTGGATCGTCGCAACGCAGATGCACTAGAAGCAATGAGAGGCTCTCACTCTGCGCTAAAGTGGGGTAGTAAAAAGGGAGGAAGGGTCGCTCGGTCCCCAAGGTCTTTGACAGCCACAGATGTGGTGGAGGTTCCTGTTGGATGGAAGTGTCTCTCTGGTGATATAGGGTAGGAGCATTTGGGTTGTTTACCGTTCTGATTGGGACTAGGGTCAATAGCTTGTATGAGCGGTCTTGGACCCAGGTTTCTCAAACGCATACAAGAAAACACAATCAGTCGAGATCATATTTCAATAGTTCCGTCCCGCAAAGCATCTGCCTCGGCGGCAGCACGCGAAGAATTGTACTCACAACTCCCTCCGCCTTATCGTGCTCACACATTCTTGCGCGTGCGACCATTGTCCATCTGCGCGAGCGTGATCTCCCCTTTCGAGATGAACCCATAAGCTCTACAAGCTCCAACTTTTGAGATGTCGCGTCTAGCTCATCACAGCACTGGTTAGCACGCAAAATCGGCACAAATTTTCCCTGGCACTACTCTCATTATAAGTATATGAGCCGCAGCCTCCATCTTGCATGCGCAGGACGATCATGGCAGGGCACGGTGACGGGCGCACAAACAACGCGGCCGGTTACGGCTAGACATGACGAGGCACACAGTAATGACGGGGTGACAGCAAGCACCATATCGGGCACGGTAATGGACATAGGGGGCCACGATGGCAGGTACTGTCATCACAAGTAAGGAGCGCAGCGGGACACTACAAACTGGTTTCATCTGTTACAATCGTAGTATGAGCCCAGTTTTCACCGGGCGGCTTCAGCGGTCGGTCTATCTCGGGTCGCTGGCGAGTGACGCAGAAGGCTAGAAAACGTATAAACTTGATTCGCACAGGCTGTCCGAGACCAGACATCTATACAAGGAAAGAAACGAGGGCGTCCTCCTTGTACAGAGTGAGGTACTGTTGGCTTTGAGCCTTTTCTTCAATGGAAGGGCGGCCGCGCGCACGGTAGTGTATAGTCGTGTGAGGAACTTTGCCACGAGCTGCGCGAGCACGGTATGATTTATACAGGCCAGGAGGAACGGCCTGCGCCAGAACACGGCTGGCCTTGTCCATTGTGGCGGACATGTTGGCCATGGAAGAAGAGGAACATGAAGCGTTCAGGCAAGGCAAAGGACACGCACACACAGCGAGCGTGTGCACACGGTCGTAAATGCTTCTAAAAGACCATCAGCATGCGCCACAGGTACAGTGAAGGGTCCTACAGGGTACGCATAGCGTCGATTTAATTACAATACAACGGAGTCGCCTATGAGCGCGCTAATGCAGGCTGATGCTTGCCGAGACGTGTTGGCGCATCTCACCAGCTCGGGCCCGCTCCCAGGGATCCCCTTCGTATTACGAGGCTCCCGGCATGCACGCTTTGAGGTCGGATATCCTTCAAACCCTTATAAGATGTTCCTACCTTGATTGCACTCTCTACCTACCCCCCCGAGCGTTTGAGCGCCCCTTGAAATTGCAATTGGACAGGGGGCTTCGCTGAAGAGTCAATTGGCGACGTTAACAAACTAATCAATGGCACGGCCAATACCACGGTGATCCTTGTCGAAGACTAGATGACTTGAGGAACAATAGCTGGAGATCCGAACGGCCAACCTGTCTCGCAACAGTGTCTCGTTACCTAGGGACGCACATTAGTGAAAAGTGGTATTACAGGCGAAGCAGGAGGTGTATACAGAGGAAATGAAGTGTGGCCAAGGTCTAGTGTCTAAGGCCTCTATACCGAGATTATCTGCGTCTATGGGTCGTTGTTGGCGTTGTTATGATAAAAACCACGGATGACTTTTTTTGCTACGCAGGGTTTTTCGCCACGCATGGGGGAATGTTACAATTCCAGCTCTAAACTGGATGCTGTATATTCATCCTCTCAAGCTTGACAACAGTGATACAGATACACGTATCCTATCCAACACTTAGTAGCGATAGCTCACATGTCGCGGTACAGCTGAATAAGACTCTGGTGCAACTTCCTCCTCGACATACCGCCGACTCTGCGGTGGAGCCATTGCGTATCGTTCTGAGGGCTCTTGGTGCGCGAGGCTTACCTCACGGTAGCGAGGTTGTGCTGACGCACGTATGGTGCCAGGCTGAATGCTTTCGTGACGGACGTAGCCCTCAGGAACTTCTCTCCGTATGACCTCTGGGCGAACACTGTATGCACGAGATGGCATGTACTGCGGTGGACCCATCTCTTCATACTGTGGAACTGGCCGGCGCTCGACTACCTCTTGTGGTCGGTACTCGACTTCGACCGGACGATGAGACGCTTCTCGCTGTCGATAAGGTCGAGCCTCGATAAGCTCCGGCTCTGCCGCTTCCATGTATCTTCGTGGTGGTGGCGGAGGCATCCTCTGCCCAATTTCGTCCTCGTAAATCTCAGAGCGAGCGGGTGCGCGCATCGTAGGCTCTCGAGTCACGGCACGCTCATAGTAAGGGTCAACTTCAATGCGCCTGCTCGGAGGCGCAGCTGTTTCTCTCGCATCGACGGGTGCTGCATAGTATTTGTTGCCATACTGATCGACCACAATACGGCGCGGTGGAGGCATGGGTTCGTAAATAGGCGACCGAGAGGGTTCACGAACGTATCGCGGCGCCATCGAGGCGCGGGACGAAGCCACTCGAAAGACTGGTACTTCTGGTCGATCGGCGTATGCGTGAGATGCCGCGCGAATCGGACGGTACTCTGGAGGTGCTGCAAAGACCTCGCCACCGCTGCCACCTGGTGAGTACGGGCGTCGAGCATACTGGAGACTTGCCACTCTCCTCAAATCCTGCTCCTGAGGTTGTGGTCTTCGCTGTGGTGCGTGTATTACAGTTGGTGAAGTTGGCTCGTCGTATTCGCGGTAGTAGACCGGTCCCCGTGGAGACATCACCTCGACATCGTTAGGAAGAGGTTGAAGAGCGCGACGCTTGCTTGGCTGTGACTCAGCGAATGGGGGCGGTGACTGAGGCTCCTCCTTAATGTAAGGCTCAGGGGATCGCACCACGCGTTTATTAGCCTGTTGCTCACGCCGCTTTTCCTGGCGCTTCTCTTCTCGCCTCCGTTTGCGAGGATTCTGCAGCGGCGGCGCTGGGCCTGATGGGCTGTTGCGGCGGGATCTGCAATATGTTAGCCTCCATTTACTTTCGATTTTCGATAGATGTCGCGTAGTCTGGCCATAGTGTACTTGCGAAGCTGAGTCCACCCGACTGAGGAGGTAAGGCAGTTCTTCGAAAGTCTGACAATTGGCTTCGCTGATGGAAATGTGTGACGCTAGGATTGCTCACACGCCATATCAAACCAGTCAAGGGTGGAATGATGGGTGTCAACTAGTTCAGACTTCGAGCTTCGAACAGAGATATGCGTGACCCAACAATCGAGATAGTTGAATAGGAAAGAAGATGGAAGGGAAAGAATCATACCCGTTTGCGCCACCGTTGCCAAAGCCACGATCTCGTGCGCGGCCTCTCTTAGGCTCACTGGGGCCAACATCAGCCGGAGGCGGCGAGTAATCCTCTTCGTCTGCATCATCCCCAAGATCAACCTGCTCTGGCTCATAGATTTCAATATCATCGGCAGGTTCGTACGTTTCCTCGTCAAGGTCGATCACAGCAGGCTCAACATGAGCATCCTTGATCGGCTGTTTCCCCTGAGAGACATGTGACCCTGTAGCATCAGCATTAGAGGTTTGGTTGACATCAACATCTTCCGAAGACCAACTGTCTGCCTTGCTAGAGTAGTACGAGTTCTCGTCAAATGACTCAGCGCCATCACTGTTGTTAGTCGTAGACTGCAAGCCAGATACAGGCGGCACGCGAAGATGAGCTTGCGTCAAGCATTCCTCCACATTGAAGTGGGCTTCGCGCTCCTCGTTGTCATTGCCGCGACCCTTCTTGTCGAATTGGTCTTTCAAGATCCGTTCTATTTGTTGTCGCTTGAGCTGCAACTCTGCCCTGATCAAGTGGTCAGACTTGGTGAGCAACACCGGATCGATGCCAGAAGACGCGGACTTGGCAGAGTAGGGTCGCTGTATGGGCTGGGCTGGGGAAACAAACTCGGGTGCTTGTGTGGTTTGCTGTAATGAGCTGTCCGGGCGCGGCGAGAACAACTGCGAGGCGTTGGTGCCATTTGCAATGCCGTTGATCGAGGGCCTGCTCGGCGGTGTAGTCTGCGGCGGACGTGGTGCAACCTGTTCAATTACTTTGGGTGGGAGATGGATACGCGGGTGTTTGCTAGCAAACACATCGTCGCGTATCTGCAGGATCTGCTGCAAAAAGTCGACCTCGCGACGGGCCTCTGCGGATACCACCCCTGTGCCGTTGACGTGCGGCAGTGCAGATGCAATTGTCGACATTGCGCAGCTGGCAGGCGATTGGCCTTACGACAGTCCACAGCTAGAGCTCAGTACCAACGGACCAACAGATGCCGGGTAACCAAGAAATCGCAGCTGCACAAACACAAGCAGTGTACAAGCTGCCGTCTGATGTCGCGGTTGATGGAAGTGAAGGGGTTGGGGAGCGAGACGCCAGCAAAGGTCAACGAAGCCGCGGTAGAAATTCAGCAGGCGTATTAGAAACACTAGTCCGAAATAAGCTCATCGCGCTGTCTTCACCCCCACGCGTCATGACTCTTGCCCGCCCTTTCCCTGCATGCAGTTCATGCAACTTTCACTTTCTGCCATCTCGAAGTTCGACTCATATCGAACTGCAAATTGCGCCAGCCAAGTTGTTTGCTATCAAACGCCAGATCTTAGTCCATTCGTTACACGCCGGCCACTCCACAGAACTCCACTACTCAGACCGAGTCCGCCACAGCACAGAGCAGTACTTTGCGCAAGGGCGCAGCTATATTCTACAAAGTCAAAGCCTGTCTTTCTAAACAAAGCACCACCCAAACGAAACATCACCATGGCGCAACAAAACGAGAAGCCAGTCTTCTTCTTTGACATTGACAACTGTGTGAGTACCTACATGTACACTTTGACATCAAGTAAACTTCGCTGACCTCAAGTAGCTTTACCCAAAGAGTGCGTTCCTGTATGGAGACTTGATAATAGTTACTGACCTTACAAGGTCTCAATATCCATGACATGATGGCTGAGCTCATCGGTGAGTGAAGTCGTTTAGTTTTTGCCTCCAGAGCAATTGCTCACCATTTGCACAGACAAGTACTTCCAAACTCACCTTGAGATATCGCAACAAGAGGCGAACGATCTTCACTACAAGTACTACTGGGAATATGGTCTTGCCATTGAGGGCCTTGTCAGGCACCACAAGATCGACGCATTAGACTACAACAAACAAGTCGACGATGCGTTGCCCTTGGACGATGTGATCAAGCCGGACCCGGAGTTGCGCAAGCTGATCGAAGATATTGATACAAGCAAAGTCCGGTTATGGCTGCTCACGAATGCTTATGTCACGCACGGCAAGCGTGTTGTCAAGCTGTTGAAGGTCGATGACCTTTTTGAAGGCATGACATACTGCGACTACAGCTCTGACAGGTTCGTCTGCAAACCACAGGCAGAGATGTTCGACAAAGCTATGGAGCAGGCGGGCGTGACCAAGAACGAGAACTGTTATTTCGTGGGTATGTTTGTCAATATTATTCTCGGTGCTTTGCTCCATACTAATCATACCAGACGACTCGTATATCAACTGCAAGGCCGCGAATGAACGAGGGTGGAATGTCGCGCACTACTTGGATCCAAGTATTGAGTCACCTCCCAAGCAGGCTGCGAAGCACCAAATCAGGAGTTTACAGGAACTGAGGAAGACGTTCCCTGAGGTATTCAAGAGCTCATCATCGTAAATGCCGGTAAGACGTGGCACTGAACGATGATGATTTAGAACATATAGACGAGCGACACGAATAGAACATAGACAGGCTCTTGAAGAAGACATGCATTTTCAAGGACGATGTACATGATATTGACATGGATCCGCATAGTGCTAGCGTGTGGCGCGTAGCTCTTATCGATGGAGCTACTGCCGTCTCGATGATGCCAACGCATCTGCCTTACATCTGCCTGACAACGCAACATCTAGCGTCTTCGTTGCCTCGTGCCAATATCGTTTATATATACTCGATACTACTCCAAAGAACAAAATGACATCCACGTCGACGCCAAAGATGTTTCAAACCATGTCTCCAGCTCCAACATCGAGCTCCACCCTGCCTGCCCCACAGGCCTCCGCATTGTCCCCAGCTACTCACGACGAGCACAGCACACCACAGCAAAGCAGCACAACAACACAAAACGAGTCCTCGAGGACAAAGGTCAAGCCGCAGCGCAAGCCCCTACTTCGCCTCGAGCTCCGAGATCTATCATCAGACGGCTCCCGCGCGTTCCTCCGCCTCGTACATGCCTCCTCAGCTCTCGTGTCTGCAGTCGACACTGTCTTACGTCTACTCTACACCGACATTGAGAAGTCATGCATACCGCCTACAAGATCAATCACATTGGTGCTTCGAGACATGGACGGTGTAGCGTACACGACCGGTCTCGACATCGATGACGACCACAAAGAAATCCACCTCAGCACCAAATACATCGAGCACGTCGCAGAGTCGAGGCAAAAGGAAGAGATAAATGGTGTTCTCGTACATGAGATGGTACACTGCTGGCAGCACCATGGCGGCAACACTGCGCCTGGGGGCTTGACAGAAGGTGTGGCTGATTGGGTGCGTTTAAAGGCAGGCTATGCGCCCCCTCATTGGAGACGCAGGGGCGATTGCGATTGGGATGTTGGATATGAACGTACGGCATACTTCCTTGAGTGGCTGGAGAAGGAGCATGGCGATGATGTGGTGAGGAAGATCAATCAGGCGCTGAGGGGCTGCAGGTATGATGCTAAGAAGCTTTGGCATGATTGCTGTGGGAAAAGCATCGAGAAGTTGTGGGAAGGATACAAGAGGAGCTTGGAGTGCGACGATGACGAGAGACAAAAGACAGAGGACGCCACGAGAACAAGAGAACCGCAACAAGAGCAGAGTGCTTCGCACGAAGAAAAGCCGCAGAGCGAGGATGTGTCAACTGCGTCAACAGAGGATCACAGGACACTGCGCGAAAAAGCACGGCGAGGCGGCAATATGATGGTACCAGTGCGTCCAGGTATATCGTGAGCTCCAAGCCACACGATTTCACGCTCAGAGGAGAAGAGATTCGGCGCCAAGGGCAGATCAAGGCCTCCACGAACCAAGGCCTGGACAAGGCCAACGAGCTGCCAGACGCAAATGCAGAGCGTGCGTGCCCGCGAGGCAGCGGACTTCGTGTAAGACAAGAGAGGAGGGCAGACGTGGTGAGCAGCCATGCTCGACGGGTACATTGTCCTGCGGCGGTCAAAGACGATGAAAAGCAAGATGCTGAGCTCTCCGAAAACCTCCAGGCTCGATCTCCCAGCCACAATTTTCCAAGGAATTGAGATATCAATCTTCACATCCTGAGTGCAAGTTGAACATCCTGTATTCTTCAAACCTCTGGAGAGGATTGTGTTTGATCCCACAATCCTCGCTGAAGCTGTCTGTGAACTGCAGCGGGGTTCAAGATTGGGAGTGCAAAAGATAGGGCCTACCTTGCACTGTAGCCTCACGAGGCAGCAAAACAAAGAGATGGAAGATGCTATGCTGTCGGCGAGTAGTGTCATGCACGTGGCAGGTCATGGAAGGCATGCTTCGCACATGAGGCTATGTGCGCTAGGGCGGCGCACTGACCTTCACAGCACCGCACCCGGCAAAAATTACACCAACTTCACCGGTCAATATCTCAGCAACTACGACAGCTATGCACACCTTGAAAAGACAAAAAGAAAGCCCGACGTGGGGCTCGAACCCACAACCTTGAGATTAAGAGTCTCACGCGCTACCGATTGTGCCAGCCGGGCTTGTTGTTGCTGTTTTGATGAAAGGATACGCGAGCGGTGTTATTATATTGCCAGTAGTTTCTGGTGTTGATGGTGAGCAGGACACTAGGTAGGATTGAAGGGTTTACGAAGATGCACAGAGTTTGGGAGCTCAAGGTGCAAATTTGTTTGGTAGCGTGGGGCTGCTGGCGAACTTCGGCGACATAACTACCTCAGTGAAATGATCGATTACGACCAAGTTACCTCGCATTTAGGAGCTCAAGCACACGATAACAACACATGTCCACTAATGATCGATGCGTTCGCAGGAGCGATCGCTGACTACATGGAGATGAGGTGTAAGAAGAACCTCACGAGTGCACAAAAGCAGCTAACATTGAATCAGACGCAAATGTATATTACAGAGTTTAAGTGGCGAATCTCTATGCGTCTATATACCTGTAAGTCTCTGGACTAGTTTTTTCAATGCAGTATGCAGAAGGTTATCGAAAGCGTTGAAATGAAGGTACCGCTACGCCGCCTTTGTTTTTTCTCTTGTGCCACCACTCTGAAGTCAGGTCTAGTGATCCAAAGCCTGAGCTTGACACTGTTTATCATTAGCAAAAACTCTCTCACAACTTGAAAGATTCGACTCACCATTTGCCAATACACGCCTCGCTTCTTCAGCAGTTCCTGGTGACTACCCTGCTCCAACACCCTTCCACTACCCATAACGAAGATGACGTCTGCCTTCTGGATCGTCGCCAATCGATGCGCAACCGCAATCATAGTCCTAGCATCGTCACCAGCAGCTCTCTCGATGGCCGCTTGCACCAGCTTCTCGCTCTCGCTGTCAAGCGACGAAGTAGCCTCATCAAGTAATAGCAATTTTGGCTTTCGCAACAAGGCCCTCGCAAGACTGAGACGCTGTTTTTGCCCGCCAGACAGGCTCATGCCCTTAGGACCAAGACGGGTGTTGTAACCGTCTGGCAACGAGACAATGAACTCGTGGATCTGCGCATCTGTGCACGCCGCTTCGATGTCTGCATCTGTGGCAGCGTCGACAGAGAGGGCAACATTATCCTTGATGGTGCCTTCGTAGAGGGTTGGTTCTTGCGACACGAGACTGAGTTGTTGGCGGTAGAGGGATGGATCAAGGGTCGTTAGATCTTGGCCGTTGTAGAGGATTGTGCCGGATGTGGCATCATAGAAACGCTCGAGGAGGGAGATGGTGGTGGATTTGCCGCAGCCAGAAGCGCCTACTAGAGCAGCGAATTGCCCAGGAGCGACGTGCAGGTTTAGGTTCGAAAGGACCTGCGTGTCGCGGGACTTGTAGGTGAAGTTTACATTCTGAAAGTCGACACTGACGCCACCAGAGGGATTGCGCAAAGCTGGGTAAGTAGGCGCTGCAGCATCCTTTGGAGGTCGCATACTGAGAATGCGGTTTGCGGCTCCAGTTGCCTGAGCCATGTCTGTCAAGAGTCAGCCACGTTGCAGTTCGAACAAACAGGACACTCACTTGGTGCAAAGCTGAACCACATGCCAGCAGCAATGGCACCTTGTACTACCGCAGTGTAGATGACGAAGAAGTCGACTAGGCCGTACTCCCTTTTGGCGAGTAGCGTACCGCCGTACCAAAACGCCAAAGCCATGCAACCCAGTTCAAGACTATCACTTGCCGCAAATACAATCGTCGAGTACTTTGCGTTGCCAAAGGCATGCTTGACATGGCTGACCAAAAGGCTCTGATATCGATTGCCGATCATGTCTTCCATGATGAGACTAAGAACCGTTCGGAAGGCACCGACAGCCTCCGTGGCAAACTGACTGCTTTCCTCGAACACCTTAGCGTTCTTCTTCTCGAATTGTATTTCCAGCCGCATCCGCATGTAGCCAGCACCAAGAATGATTGGCATGATGGAGAAGAGGGCCACTAGTGTGAGCTTCCAACCGTAGACAAAAGAGATGATCAAAGACCCGACTAGATTGACGACTGCAATGAGGGCAATAGACATCTCCGTTGTCATTAGCTGGCGAAGTTGCACGACGTCAGAACTCAAGCGAGAAGTGAGAGACCCGGGGCTGTGTCCTTGGTCATCGAACCAGACAATCCGTTTTTGCATCATGTTGCTCAGGTATTCTTGACCGTAGATCGCCGTGACCACGACTTCGACATAATGAAGAGCATAGCCAATGACGAAGTAAGCAATGAAAACAGCAGCGGCCTCCACTCCGAACATGCCGGCCCAGAAGTTGCCCTGACTGACGAGGCGATTGCCCGTGAAGGTAAAGACTTCGATGACTTTGGCGAAAATAAAAGCTTGCACTGGGTAGATGGCTCCAGCCATGAAAATACCGACTGTTGAAATCGAGTAGAGGAGCCATTGGCTACGCTGTTCGTAGAGTAGACGACCAAAGCTAAGCACTAGGCCTCGCTCTTTGTACTCAGGATCCACTTCGGACGTATGGGACTCTGTTTCTTGCGCGTTGGCGCATTTCGCATCTAGAGTGTTGACTCTTTCCAGCTGAGCTTCTTCAGAGATCTCATGAGCGCCTTCCGGTTCCATTGCAAGCTCTTGAGCGTACACAAGGCTACGGTAGACGCCTGCTTCGAGTTGAACAAGCTCGTCATGTGTTCCCTCCTCAACGAGCTTGCCTTTTCGCAGCACTACAATCTTGTCTGCGCGCCTGATGGTAGAAAGGCGATGGGCGATGACGATCGTGGTCCGATTTCTCGATACGCGATCCAGGGCCTGTTGGACTATCCTCTCTGTGCGCACGTCGATAGCGCTGGTTGCTTCGTCCAAGATGAGAATAGCGGGCTGCTTGATAATGCTTCGAGCAATGGCGATGCGCTGACGCTGACCTCCAGAAAGCTTGATGCCGCTCTCGCCTACAAGTGTGTCGTAGCCTTGAGGTAGTTTTAAAATGAATTCCTCAGCGTATGCTTCTCGACATGCCTCCTCTACCATCTTCATTTTCTCGGCTTTTGACAAATCTTGCCTGTCTGTCCCGCAAAGACCGAATGCAACATTGTTGAAAAGGGTGTCGTTGAACAAGAATGGTTCTTGCTGCACAAGTCCAATCTGCGAGCGCCACCACTTCAAGTCAACCTCGCGCAGGTCCGCCCCGCCGACTCTGATCGTTCCAGTGCAAGTATTCGGACCCAGGTCGACTTCCTCTTCTTTCTTTGCTTTGTCCGGTGTTTTCTCGTATTTGGGCTGCTTGTCGTCAACTTTCTTCCGTTGCCAGAAATTCTTAGGCTTTCGTGTTTGCTGTTCGTCTACGACCGGCGGCGGAGGAGCGTCGCTTTTCTCAATTGCAGTTGTGCCTGCAAGCTCATACCACCTCTGAACAAGGCCCACGATTGTGCTTTTGCCTGAGCCAGACGGTCCGACTATTGCAGTGACTTTGCCAGCACTGAGTCTGAGGTCAAGACTATCTAATATCTGTACGTTCGGTCTGCTCGGGTACGAGAAGGCAACGTTTTCAAACGTAATGTCGGCATCTGCGTTGATCTCGGGATCTCTCATGCCGGAGGTGTCAGGCAGAGGTGCATCGATGGTGACGAACAGCTCGTGCGCTGCAGTAGCAGCCTTTGATATGGCCATTATTGGGCCTGCTAAACGACCAATGTTCATGACCGCCATCATAACGGAGAACAAGACGCTGAACCCATTAGCTAAGGATTTCTGTTACGATGAAGCGAAGACTTACACTGTTATGTCACCAACATTGCCATGACCCTCAGATGCTCGTTTGATACCATACCAGAAGGTAAGACCGAAAGTGCCATACATGGCCGCCATTTGCGGAGCCATCAAAAGACCCATGAACGGCGCAGCCTTCTTCTCGTTCTCTCCAGCCTGGGAAAGTAGAGTCAGTAGATGGTACTGCACGACATGATACAAAATCAATGGAATGGCTTACTTTGGCAACTGCAAGCTCGTGCAGTCTAGCTAGCTTAGCTTCAGCACCGAAAGCTACCACCACCCGCACAGAAGAGAACATCTCGAAGGCCATTGCTGAAGCATCTTCAAGGTGTTTCGCGGTCACTTTTTGGATATTGATGAAGGGCGGCACAATCAGGCCGTATACAACCAAGATGAAAGGCAGCGCCGCCGAAGCTACCAGAGTCAACAGCCACCCTTTGACAAAGGATACAACGTATAGGCCTATTATGAATGCGAGTGATTGGAACAACATCGCGAAGTGTTGTGAGATAGCGATTTGGACTGTGTTTGACGACGTCGTGATTCGAGTTGATACTTTGCCGGGGGATATAGTATCGATTGTGGCGACAGGCTGAGCGAAGAGGGCACGCAGGTATGCCAGACGAAGAGCTGCGGACATTCGTAGCCCGCTGATACGGATGCAAAGCTGGGAATAATCAGCAAGAGTGTTCCAGAGAACATGAGTTTGTCTTACCATCGATACATAGGACAGCACGAATTTCGCGATGAAAAGGTACAGAATATAGAGTGTCAAATTGTTGATATCGGCCTGGAATTCGTCTCTCGTGACAGTGGTGTCAGGAAGGAAGTAATTTGTGAAGTTACCCACGAGCTGGCCTGAGAGTTCAATTAGCATCTTTCTGAAAGCAATGTTGGAAACAACATACCGAAAACAATGTTCATCAGTGGGTACGCCTGTAGCCCATCAGTGACTGGACACCAGACACTACGATTTACTTACTATGCCCGAGCCGATTGATGTGAGACAACATAGTGCGATCAAGAAGTAATCGAGCGCTGTTCCATACTTGAAAACGCGCTGCTGCAGTGTCAGTCAACACCAACGCCAACATTGAAGACAATACCCACGAAGTAACTTTTCAACCCAGCATCCGGGCCTTTCTTAGATGTAGGTCCAACGGCGCCTCTAGCCTTTCCAGCAGTTTTTGCGACATCATTCTTGTCGACTGTGTTTGCTTCGACGATTTGCGCTTGGAGTGCAGCAGTCTTGCCTTCCGCGTTAGCGGACGGGGACAAAGGTTTGGTGTCGGCCATGTTTGGTTTTCGAGATTGCGACTAAGACATCGAAGGGTTCAGCCCTGTTATTAAGTGCCCTAGGCAGAATTTATGCAACGATGCGCGTTGACGAAGGTACCAGAAACTGGTGCCTGAAAGTGAAGAAGAGTGGCAGCTGTATAAGGCGTACAGCTTGTTACGCGATGACCAAGAAGAGTAAGACACGGGAACTCCGTGCTAGCGGCAAGAGCGGTCAAGACGGATGTATAGAAGTGGTCAACGATGATCGGTGACTACGACGAAGGCAACGGCGTGACATTATATATACTTTCCTTTCAAGTGTAGGAAATGAGTGTAAGGCGTACAGACCCGGAGCTTGTGTGTAGGAGTGGAGCACGGGAGCCCTTAGCCTTTGTAGATCGTTTGCGCTAGCTGCCGCCAACGAGGTTTTGTCCTAAACGAGCGAACGACTGCGATCGATGGTCACGGGTTTTTTTCCAAGTTCGCAGAACATCAACGAAATACGATGGACAATGCTTTGGGAGCAATGATTCGCTGTTCAGATGACTCTCTGATATCTGGTCATTTCAAAGACGCGAAGACAGACCGGAACAACATGTGCAGGTATAGAGGCACGTGAGGCGGATTGGTGCCCTGCTGGACCGACCGCCGTTGCCGACTTTGCGATGACGGCTCGCTTACACTTGGCGACTTCCTGCTCACCGTTTCGGTGACTTCTCATCTCTTGCGGTTCGAATGCATTCGTGTCGCTGCATCAAGGTTCGTGCAAGATCTGTCACAACTTACTACATTGCCTCTTCTCAACATGGCTGTGTACGAGTCACTCTAAGTCACCCTCCCCTCGGGAACTCTACACAGGGTGACTGCCTGTTTGCTCCATCATGAATTACGCTTACAACTGCGGAGCATGCGCGGCTGCAGCTTCACCAGATTATGGACATGCGATGCAAAGTCCGCCTGCAGCAAGAGTCGCTCAGCGCCACTGCACATACTCGTTTGCAAACGTGTTCTTTGGACCATCACACATGTGCCTTCTATTTCTTTACTGACCACTACTATTTCTCTCACACCACAAATTGCGGCGAAGTCTCTGTTTGCAGGTATTTGTCGCTTTTCCGAAGAGCAAACATGTTTGAGATACTGTGCACGCACCTGCATTCCTCACCCTGCTCACCTCAGCTCTGTGTGTTCATACCTTCCATTCAAGTTTTGAAGCACGCCACTTAACAGCCATCATGCTCCTGCGATCTCACCTTACCCGCAGGCTGAAACATATGTCTTCCAGGATCAAGGGTTGTCTGTTGAACACCAGAGAGACAGATGAGATACATGAGACAGCTGATGCAGACAAGGGAAATGTGGCAACTACGGTCTCTGAAGGCCCGCAGGCTCCTTTAGCGGTGAGTTCGATTCGTGAAGAGTCAGCTGCAACTTCCATAACCGAACCATCACCACGTCTGGCAATCTTTACACTTCCACTCGAGATCTTTCATATTGTTGGAGACTATCTTCCCTTGGGTGCGCAGGTGGCTCTCATGCTCACTTGTCGGGAGTTTCTTCGCATATACGGTCTTGAGAAGTGGGATCAGATCCGTCGCTTCCATTATTTGCGCCTGCACCTCTTCCATTTTCTTGAACGAAAGCCTGGGTATTATGTCCTCAACAAGCCTTTTGGCTACGCAATCACCCGCAAGCACTTAGCTTTGTACTTCGACAAGGAAGCAGGCTATAGCGAAGGCCACAGTATCTCACTCAACAACTTATCTCATTCCTCTACGATTACAGCACCACAACTCGACTGGGTCCAAAGCGAGCTACGGCGCACGAATCTGCGACTTCCAAGTCGCACGCCACACGACACCATTATTGACTTGGAAGTCGTGCCACGCCGACTCCCATCGAGGTTACTGATCCGATGTAGATAAACAATTACCAGACCGTTGACAATTCAGCCATTCATGCTCTCAGCACTCAATGACTTCGGACTTGGAATTTGCCGATACATGAGCACGAAGCACCGTTCTGCACCCTGGTTCGACAACAGCCTCGCCGACAATTAGGCTCCCGTCAACCTTAGGTATTCCGCGTCTGTTACGTACGTGATTACGGCAGTGCGAGCAGATAATCAAATCACTGACGATCTCTAGCGCTTAACCCGGGCGCTACAGATGATGAAGACGATTCTTCGGGGGGCCCTGACCGCACACGTCTATGGCAAAAGCCTGCACAAACACACGATCAAAGGCAGTTGTTAACTATGCATGACTGACTATCACACCAAGCTCGTACACGATCCCAGCACGACCCATCAGAACCAAATTGTCTTGATGACTTGCAGAACCTCGGAGATGGCGGTCAAGGCGTTTGCCTTATGATCGGTGCCGCCAGTCATCCAGAAAACATCGTGTGGACAGCTCTCGCAGGTGGCGAAACCAAGCATGACGTCCGAGTTCTCAACTACCCTAGTGGGTGCATCAGAGCTGCATTTAATGGTCCAGACCTGGAGGTAATTAAGGCGAATATGTAGGGTTGGCCGTGATTCCCAGCGGTCAGCGGTAGATCATTATAAAGTCTAGATATGCGTAACTAATTGTGAATAAACCTTCATCCTCGCCGAAGGACGCGTGATCCAGTAAATGCACAGCTGCACCCAAATGTGGAACTGCTTTACCGCTAGACTTACCTGCGCAAGGGAAGCTGGTGAAGCCGGCGAAGCTTTGACCAGTTTGCTTTGGACCACGTTAATTGATTTTGATTTCACATGAGTGTGAGAAACCTTCCAGTTATCGACTCAATTCGAGCTTCTTTAACCCAACACCATGAACGATGCGAAAGGGTTGAGCCATCGCATGAAGACAAAGCTGAAACCCCAGCATCAGCTCAGCGCGCAAAGCCCGTCAGTCCCGACCCACAGCCGGCGCAGCGCAAGAAGCAGAAGACGGAACATGTTGACGAGGCCTGGGAAGCCTGGAGGAGGGGCGAAGAGGTCTGCGATAAGCAGCTCAAGAGGATCGCTGAAGAGATGAGGGTCCACATGTCTCTGAAGCAGACTCCGCCAACCGTAAAAGCCTCTGTTCCAACGCCAGCGACGTTTCCTAACATCGACAAGCACCCCTCGGAGAACATGGCCGAATACCGTCGCACAATGGACCCAACAGGCGCGCTCTTCGAAGCCCCCGCCATCTTCGTCCTCTTGAAGAAGTACAGTTTTGATCATGAGTTGGCCTAAATCGGTCAACACGAATATAAGGAAGTCTCTGATACTGACACGGTGTTCAGCAGGTACACGACAGCCCTCTTGAAGGAAGCTACTGGGTATAGAGACCGTGGAAAATACCAATGGCCTGCACGTGCTCACATGATCGGCTGCCCTCCCGACCTTATCACGGAGATGGAAGAGCTCATGGAGGGATGGAAGCTACTCGTCGACCGCCCAGGGAAGAAGGGACTGTGGAATTGGAAAAGAGAGCACACGTGTGCACCAAAGTGTTGGCCAGGCCAGAATTCTGACCAAGCGGGTATCCACATTCCCAGCTATAAGCAGTAAACAAACTACCTGTCTACAGGATAAGGACCGATCCAACACCGACGCTCAAACAGTACGAATCAACACCATACCCAGACGCGTAGGCGAGTGATGTTTCTACAGCAGTTCAAGCACACTCTTCTTCACCATTTTCGGCGGATTAAACGGCCGGCACTTGCTAGCAGCGCAGAAGTACTCATCTGAGCAGCATGGTAAGTCGCCGTTGTATCCGCAGGTCGCTGTCAACACATTAGCTCAAACTGCATTGCATCCATGGTTGCCAGTCACGGGTCCTATTAAAGTCAAGACTTACCATAAAGACCACCGCAGGTCGGAGCAGGAACCTCAGCTGGTTTACTGAGCTGACCATTGTTGCAAGAGTATTCGCGGGGGTTGTAGCATGCCGTCCCACCGCAGGCGAGTGTTGCTTCACCGTTGAGTACGGGGCAGAGGAAGTTGCCGTTCCAGCAAGTATACTATTCCTCGTCAGTCCCACTCCTTCACCAAGTCACTCTACCTCCCATCCTCAGACTTCAAAAGCAAGGAAGAAAGTGAGGGCAGCATTCATACCTCGCCCGGCCGATACGGTGCACTTCCACAATACTGCACCGCACTATCCGGCGTAATGAGCTGCAACTGCGTATTTGCATCGCAGTAGTACGTTCCGGCGTCGTAGCACGCGGTGCCGCATGCGACATATGCTTCGCCGGTGGCTGTCTTGGGACACAGGAGTGTGCCGAAGCAGGTGTATTTGGAGGGGTAGAATTGCGCTGCACCGCACCACTTGAGGTCCTCGGCGAAGGCAAGAGAGAAGAGGGTGGTGAGGAGGGGGAGGGTGATGGGGAGCTTCATGGTCGCTGTTGAATTTTGGATACCAGCAGGTGTTGAGTGAGGTGTTGATGGGTATTGAGCTGAGTACAGATAGGAATAGGACCTTATATAGTTGAAGGTTGCGGTGAGGTTGGAAAGGTCGAATGATGGTCCTCGTCTTCCTCGCTTTGAGAATACGGTGATGACTTCAGCTGAGTCCTCAGCCCTTCACCCTCAGAGGCCTATTGTAATGTTGTCCATGCGCTGTTCTTTTTTCATGTAGATCTCCCGCCGCCATTTCGATAGTCTGGTCGGCATATCCTGCTCGATTGCACTGGCTCTTGTCGTGCAGGGCCCGTATACAAGTCAGATACGGGTACCTGTGCTTGGACAGGAAATTTTTATGACCATGTCTCAGTCCCCGCATTCTATCTTTAGACATCCCCAGATATGATACGTCGATTGAATGCTGATGTATGACGACGATGGTGGTACGGCAACGTACTTCCAGATTCATGGACTGGACTCGTGACAGGCTCAGCCGCAGGGTGATCGGTCCCTGCATAAGCACGCGCGAGCGGCTGATCTGATTGGCGCTAAGGATGATGGTCGGCTACCATAACTGTTGTAAGTTCGTTAGCTCTTAGTTCTTATATGGGCTTGGGTTTGTGCTGCCTGCATCGTGGCCGTGGGCGTCGAGGGTGGACAATTGAAGCCGCACTTCCATATCCCTGATTCCGACGATATCCCCATGATCGCAAGCAATCTCCCGTCTCTTCTCCAATCTGATCAAGCTCTCGACCAGACGCTCGAGAAGCCATTCGCTTTCACTGACGCCTGCAACCATCGGGCTGTGTTCGCCCAGCCAGTCCCAGTTCACAAGTCCTTCCTCATTCTCAGTCTCGTTTGTGAGCATTGTTCCCAGAACCCGATTAAGGCGTCTGGGTGTTGTATATCTGATGAGCCGCGTGAACTCGACCCATTCTTCGTACGAATAACGTTTTGGCTTGTCGAGACGGAGGTCAGAGGAGACTTTTTTGATGCTGAGAGCAATACGGCGGGATAGGGAGGCTTGGGTAGGTGCTTGCGTGAGATCTGTTTCTGCTTCCGCAGCCAGGCTCGTGATGTTGAGAGCTGTTGCTTGTAGTGTGTCGGCAGCAGCCTCCACATTGTTATCATCATCGGCTCCGCTTCCAGCATTTGGGTCTGCTGTTGCAAAGCCTTCCCTGATGCGTCGTTTGGCCTTACGATCTTGGATACGCTGTTGCAGCCAGGGATGCTTGTCCACCAATGGTTGCCAGATGCCTCGTTTCGGAAGGATTGTAAAGTCTGCTACGATATTGCTCCACTTCTTAAACTTCGCAACGACCGTGTCTCCCAGATCGGAGACAAGTATCGTCATCGTTGGCACCGAGATCAGACTCCAGATCACGAAGAAACAGCGACCAGGGTTTGACTTGGGTGACAGGTCCCCGTATCCGATCGTCAACAGAGAAATGTAACTGGAGCATATTAGCATCTCGCGATATGGCATGGAAGTAGTCACAGGCATGAGAAATCGTAGTCACTATACATACCAGAAGTACAAGGCTTGGAAGTAAGTCATGCCCTGTATGCCTCGCTCTGTTTGCCAGAAGACAACGGCTCCAATGCACCACAGAATCAGGAACGTGGTGACCGACCAAATAAGATTCATCCATCTCTTGAACCTTTCGCTGTCAGCTTGAATCCTGCGCATCGCATCAAACCGATCCTTCTCCTCTTTAAGAAGTAGTATACGTGATTTCCGATCCACTCTTGGCGGTACACCGAAGCTGCGTGAGAACGACGAGGTGTGCTGTACGTTGTTGCCCATTGCAGTGCGATATGGTCTTGGCTGAGAAGGCGCGCTGATCTTCAACCTGCCGAATGTGCTTCGACGCACAAGCTGACGCTGGCGGTGTCTATAGTCCTCAGAATTTGTAGCAGTCAATTCGAGAGCCTGCTCTCGTCTACGCCGAATGTCTTTCCGCACGATGTGGTCTTCGCCCAGTTCTCGCGCAGCACGGTACAGTGAAGAGACAATGAGCCCAAGGGTTATGATGCCACCTACTGAATAGGGAAAGAGAAGACCCCTACCCAGATCAGTAGTAGCGACCAGATCGCCAAATCCTGATCCAGTGAGCAACTTGCCACATAAACAATGAACGTCAATTGACTCACCCACGGTCAAGATTGTGACATAGCAACTGAAACACGGTTAGTCTTGGTGCATACAAGATGTGTTGGTTAGCACTCACAAGTAAAGCGAGTTCGGGAAAGTCCATTGATCCTCCCCGGCATCAGTCTGTATTCTCGAATAAATGGCTGCCCCACCAGCGATCCAGATGAAGAAGAACATGGTCTGCAAGATTAGCGTGCGCTGACTGTCGCTCAAGGCAAAGTGATCCGGGTAGTGTCCGAGATGGTAGCCGAGCATGTTGACCATCAGCAGCACAGAACAGACGAAGTAAAACACGGCCGCAGCAACCGCATACCAATAGCCCTGGGTGTAAATCTCGTATGGTCTGTTCGGCGGTGCGTAGACCTCCATACATGCCGTGATTGCTGTCAAGAGCCCAGAGCTGATATACCAGAAAATGATTGTCGTAGGAAGCGCGATGACATAGCGGATCTTTTGCGTGAAGTTGCAGAGCAGGAAGACGTTCCCGAGAAAGCCACAGATCAGTGATACGACGTTGAGCCAGTAGCACCATCTTGGATCTGCGTAGGGCACTCCGAAAAGATCTGAGACAAATCCGCCATCCAGATAGTTGTTTTGTCGCCAGCTGGTGACTAGAGCAGCGATTGAAGAGACGTTTGCTAAAGGCCCAAGGCATGCAGCGAGCAGAGGAATGCCCGTAGAAGCGAACCACCAGCTTGAGTCGGAGCCGTCGGTCCACTTGTGCCAGATCTTCCAGCGGTTCTGTCTTTGAGCCTCGTCCCGGGGTCTGTGAGTAGCTTCCTGGAAGGGTTCCTGAACATGCAGTGCCTGCTGTTGCTGTGGCGCTGTGGCGTCACAGCTTGCGGGAGTCTGCGGCTTCTCCACCTCAGCATCCTTTTCGGCCAACATCGCGGTCATGGCAGGCGTTGATAGTCTGCGTCAGACATGATGGTTGTTCTTGGACACAGCGCGGATTGGACGCAAATGTCCAGGACTGATTGTGGAATTGTATTCGTCCAGATTTGGGAGGCGTAGGATTGGGCAAGACTGTCTGGATGAGATGTATTGGAAGAACAAGTGCAGGGGAGCGGAGAAGCTGGGAATGTCTCCAAAATACTGACGATAAGAATGGTTTAGTGGCTGGGATGAAAGGTTTAGAGGTGCTGAGCAATCGGCGCTAGCGCTGGAGCGGCATCATGAATCTGAGGGCCGCCACAGAGTAGGGAGGGTGATGATATAGATGAACTTAGGTTAATAAGAGAGCGAAGACAGTAGCGGGAGGAAGAATACATTTCGTTGAGAGAAGATTAGTGTTTGCCCTACCTGGGTAGTGGCAGTTGCGATCTTGCATGGTGCACGATGTGGAGGGAAGTAGCGTTGCAAGACGCCGCTAGCTTGATGCGTCACAGCTCGATTCACTCTGCATATCGCGATGCGATAGATGGCAATGTCAAAAGGTGGACTCGGATCCATTGTTACTTGACTTTGAGGGTGCCCAGATTCGAAGTCTTACATTGGAATATATACAACACGTAGGTATCAACGACGTCATAGCTACTGCTTCAGCTTTTCTGTCAGCTCCGGTACCTTATCGAACAAATCGCCAACCAGACCGACGTCTGCAACCTGGAAGATGGGCGCATCGGGGTCCTTGTTGATGGCCGCGATGACCTTGCTGTCCTTCATGCCAGCCAAGTGCTGGATGGCGCCGGAGATACCGGCGCAGAGGTACAGCTGCGGCGCCACGTTCTTTCCTGTCTGTCCGACCTGCAAGCTGTTGTCCGCGAATCCACTGTCGACGGCGGCTCGCGAAGCACCAATGGCAGCGCCCAGTGCATCAGCCAGAGGGGGCATGAGCTTGTCGAACTCCTCCTTGGACTTCAGCCCGCGTCCTCCAGAGACGACCTTGCTTGCTGAGCCGAGATCGGGGCGGTCAGACTTGGCAAGGTCCTCAGACACCCATTCTGTTGGGCACTCGGCCTTGGGATCTGTGCCCTCCTCCACTGTCGCGGATCCTCCTTCTGTCTCGGGAGCGGGGAAGGCGGTGCCGCGGACGGTGATGATCTTTGTGCTGTCGCTGGACTGGACGGTCATGATGGCGTTGCCGGCGTAGATGGGGCGAACGAATGCTGTGGTCGTGTCAGCGTCGGCCGTGCAGTCGCTGGTCGCCCCCACTTACTGTCCTCGCTCTCGATCTCTGTGATGTCTGAGATCTGCTGGACGTCGAGCAGAGCTGCGACACGGGGCATCAAGTTCTTGCCAAAGGCAGAGTGCCCGGCCAGGACGTGTGTGTACCCGCCCTGCTTGATGTTCTCGACCAGCAGCGGTGCCCAGTTCTCGGCAAGTCCCTAGAGCGACCGTCAGTCTGCGCAGCCATTGTACGTCGTCGGTAGTCTGACCTTGTCGTATGCAGCATTGTCGACATAGACGACCTTCTCGATGCCCTTTGCCTTGCCTGCCTCCTCAGCGACTGACTTGCCCCCACTTCCGGCGACGAAGGCTGTTATCGGACCACCGAGCTTGGTTCCGGCTGTGATAGCGGCGAGCGAAGCAACGTTGAGCCTGCCCTCCTTTGCCTCAAGGACGGCGAGCGTAGAGGCCAATCGTGCCCATGCGGCTTGTGACTGTGGCTGGCGAAGCTGTGCGCGAGCAGATCGGAGCCCCGAGGTGCGTGCGGCGGCGAACATGACGGGCGGTCCTCTGTTTTCCGATATGGTTCCTTCCAATCCCAACTTTCCAGTTCCAACTCTTACAAGTCGCTGCGGGGGTATCTCGGTGGTGGAAGCGAAGGTGAACGGCAAAAGTCGAGTGCAAGCTGCGGACATGATTGACCTCGGCCTGGCCATGGCAGGGCTCGCTCCGTGTACCGGCGCTAACCTTGCGACTCAAAGTTGCATGCACGCCTGCTGTCACGTGATGCTGGCCGCGCGAACTCCCAGACGCTGGGCGCTGGGAGCATCGCGAACATGGAAGTTTAGACGCGACGACCACCCATCGCATCCCCAACGTCCCCACATTCGTTTGCTGCCAGACAAACACCGCCACATAGCGCAAAGTGCTTGTAGAAGCTGCGCGACTTCAGCTATCTGTTGCACTCTGCGCGACTGCCCGGTTCTGCGCAGTAACGCCTGCCAGCCCCCGTGCCCACCGCGAGCTTTCCCACCGCAGCTATGTCCGACGACGCGACTGCAAGCGCAAGCGCGCAAGACCCTTCCCTCGAAGGCACCACGCAAGCCAATGCGCTTGACCAAGGTACGTCACATCGAACGCATCCATTTCCAGGCGGCTTGCGACCACGCCGACGCCATGGGTGACAAGTCCACTCTTCCGTACCTCGATGGGTTCGACTTGGACGAGTATGACATGGAGGCCGGCCCGCCTATCGGGGCCGGCTGCAATAGACTGCCGACCGATTCAGAGCTATCGTCGCCTCCACGGAACATAGTAACATCAGATGCAGACACCAACATGCTCGAGGAGCCTTTCACAGTGAAGGAGTCGTCGCGCGAGCTCTCGACTGCCACACCCGCGCCCGTCTCAGACAACCCTCTCGATGCGCCAGACGGCCCGCGGCCAGACGCCGAGGACGCAGACGGCCAGGAAGACGAGGAGATGGGCGGCCTGGGCGACACCAAGAAGGAGAAGGACGGGGAGGGCGTCGAGGCTGCAGACCCTGAGGCGGCGGCAAAGACCGATCTGCAAGCTGCTGCGCGCTCGCACTTCGTCGCCCAGACCTACGCGACCATCATCCCCAGCTATGCGACATGGTTCGACATGCGCTACATCGACTACCGCGAGCGCAAGGCCCTGCCCGAGTTCTTCAACGGTCGCAATCGCAGCAAGACGCCTGCTGTCTACCGCGACTACCGCGACTTCATGATCAACACCTACCGCCTGAACCCGTCCGAGTACCTGACCGTCACGGCCTGCAGAAGGAACCTGGCTGGAGATGTTTGCGCCATCATGCGCGTGCACGCTTTCCTCGAGCAGTGGGGTCTCATCAACTACCAGGTACATGCCAGTGGCACGGACGAGTACGATTGACAACTAACGCGTTACGTAGGTCGATCCTCAGGAACGCCCATCAAACATTGGACCTCCGTTCACTGGCCACTTCCGTGTCACAGTTGACACACCCAGAGGATTGCAGCCCTTCCAGCCAGGCCCGGGTTCCAGAGTCACAGAGGGAAAGCAGAGCGCGGCCACCGACCGTGCGGCGAGCGCACAGCCTACCGCCAAGTCAGAAACCAAGTCGCTAGCCGGACGCAACATCTACGAAGCCAACGGCAAGGAAGCCTCCGCAGAGCCAAAGGACAAGGCGGCCAACGGCGAAGGCGCTGCGAACGGTGGCCCTGCTGATGTCAAGGATCTCGAGGCTGCTGCCAAGGAGCCCTTGAAGGTCATCAACTGCTTCAGCTGCGGTGTCGAGTGCACCCGTGTGCACTTCCACGAGACAAAGCCTTCCGAGCAGCCCGGCCAGACCAAGAGTGTTGGTGGACTGAAGCGCGACTTGTGCCCGAGGTGTTTTGTCGAGGGCAACTTTCCCGCTGGCACATCATCCGCCGACTTTACCAAGATCTCAACCCCAGAGGCCTCATCCGTCTCCGAGTCCGAGGAGAAGTGGACAGAAGAGGAGACCCTTCTGCTTTTGGAGGGTCTGGAAGAGTTTGACGAGGATTGGAACAGGGTGGCAGACCACGTCTCGACCAAGACTCGCGAGCAGTGCGTGATGAAGTTTCTGCAACTCGAGATCGAGGACAAGTACATCGAGGCCGACCTGCCGCAAGGCGACGCTGCCACGCCTTCGGCGAAGTTCCTCCGCGACTTGGACTACCTCAGCGAAGGCCGCGCGCCTCTGCACCACGCTGATAACCCGATCTTGAGCGTTGTCAGCTTCCTCGCTGGTCTGGCACCCGCAAATGTCACCGAAGCTGCCGTTGCCTCCGGCCGCAGTGTGGGTGAGATGAAGCGCATCTTGCAGGAGAAGATAAACAAGGCACCCACAGCACCCTCGGAAAAGGGGAAGGAGAGGGAAGGCGCGAAGGCTTCTACACCGGCCACAGGTGCCTCAGATATCAAGCCTGAGGGCGATGACGCTATGGAGGTCGACACCACCCAGGATCTCACAGCGTCCAACAAGGACGCTTCGTCAGACAACAACAACAACAACAACAACAACAACAACAACAACAACCCCCTCGTCACACTGCCCTTCGCTCTCTCCGCAGCCCGCTCGTCAGCTCTCGCCTCGCACGAAGAACGCCACATCACGCGCCTCGTCTCTGGCTCTGTCAACTTGCAGCTACAGAAGCTCCAACTCAAGCTTGCACATTTCTCCGACATTGAGAAGCTCCTGTCTGCTGAGCGTCGCGATCTGCAGCGCCGCCGCCAGCAGCTGTTCATGGACCGACTCAACTTCCAGCGCCGCGTGCGTGCGCTCGAAGACGCAACCAAGAAGATCAGCTCAGGCATACAGGGCCAAGGCCTGCCAGGGTCGATGAGCAACGAGGATGCCATGGCAGCGCTCACAGACGCTATCCGCATGTTCGGTGTTGGCAAGGGCGACGACAGCATGGGTGTGAAGCGCGATAGTGTCGATGCGGGCGCGCAACCCGTTGCAGAGGGTGGCGAGGGCTACGGAAAGCTGGAGATCTAAAGAAGCTCTTCTCTCGAAGATGCTGGTGTTATTGGCGTGATTGGAGCTTGACTCTACCATGGTCGAGGACTTGCGACCTGGGTTTCTTTGGAATACGCTGCATTGTTCCTTGACGGTGTATCGAACAGTAGAACATGGCTCTGCTGTGTCAGCTTGTACTAAATCCATGCATTGCTTGACGCGTACTTGATCATTGCTGTAGTTGCTTTTGCACATTGAAGAGGATGCTGGCACGGGCCAACAGCTCGACACATCCCTGCCAGTTCCGAGCTTAGAAATGCAGGTCCGAGAAACGCCGCAACTTTTCGATGGGTGACGACAGCAGTACATAGCTTCACTACGCGCACCACCGCCATCTGCACCTTCCCTTTTGTCGTTTCCTACCAGTTCACCATGTTTCGCACCGCTCCCCGATTAATTGCCCGCCAAGGCGCACTGCGCGCCGTCCCACGTGCCTCTCTGCCCGCCCGGAGATTCATTAGCACAGCGCCTCCAGCGCAGAAGAGCAGGAGTTGGAAGAGCTTGGTTGCGCGATTGGGTCTTGCTGGCGCCATAATATACTACTACAACACCACCGACATTTCCGCCGAGCCAAGACGTACGACCCCGCAACAAGAGGATGGCTTGGAGTGAATGGATGCTAACAGGCAGTAGACCTCGCGCCCGCGCTCCCCACAACCGAAGTCGAGTCCGAAACCCTCCCCACCATCGAATCCATCTCCGCCGAGCGCGCGCAACGCAAGGCTGTCCAGCAACAGCTAGAGCTCCAGCGCCAGAAGGAGGCATCTGCTGCCGAGGAGGCTGCGCGCGCCCAGCAACAACAATCATCCAGCCATGCCGAACCGCAGGAGGGTGGTATCGAGGGCCTAGAAGCCGAGGCCGACCAGCAGGGCGCGTTCAATCCCGAGACCGGCGAGATCAACTGGGACTGCCCGTGCCTGGGCGGCATGGCGACAGGGCCGTGTGGGGAGGAGTTCAAGGCGGCGTTTAGCTGCTTCGTGTACTCGAAGGAGGAGCCGAAGGGTATGGACTGTATTGATAAGTTCAAGTAGGTCGCACCGCAATCGCAGGGCTGCAGATGGAAGTAGAGAGGAGTGGCAATGCTAACAACAACCGCACAGGGACATGCAGAACTGCTTCCGCCAATACCCCGAAGTCTACGGCTCGGAAATCGACGCAGATGACGACGACGACGACGACATGACCGCCGATGCCGCCGCCGACGTTTCCACCCCCTCCGACTCACAGCCCACGCTTTCCGGCGAGAAGAACACAGGCAGCCCGAGCCCCGCAAGCAATGCCACTGATGCACCAGTAGCCAAGGAGCCTGTCACGAAGGCGTCGAAGAGCAAGAGCGTGGTCCCTGCGTCGTCGGGACCGCACTCGGCCGAGAAGGTCGCGGAGAATAGGCGCGAGTTGGGGCTTGTGCCGGAGAATTACAGGCCGGAGGAGAAGGAGGTGAAGAAGCAGGAGCCGGTTAGTGAGAGTGAGAGTTTGGTTCCCAAGGCTGCTCATGACAGCCGATAGAAGCAACGTCGGGAAGGGGAAAGAGGTAGTGACGATTCGAGAGCGAAGACGTTTTAGGGACGACCGAAGACATGACGGTAGAGCTGAGGTGTCAATGATTGTGCGGAAAAGCTTCATTTGTATTATACGGCATGTGAGGAGGATTTGGGGAAACAAAAAGGTCGGCATGTACAACACCTATGTTCCGAAATACACACCTTTCACTCACGCGCCCAACTTCGTGTAGCAAGCATCGAGGCCCTTGACGGCTATGACTACATTGGAGCCAGAGCATGAGAGTGGTAGTCTGGCCGCCAGGCAACCATCATACCCAACAGTACCCTCCACCATCCGTATCTTAACATCGAGGCGTCGAAAGTGGTGACGCGGCTCCCGCAGTAACTCAAGCGGGTGCGCGTTCATAACGCTTCCCAATCAAATTCTGCTGCCTAATCATCACGATATATCCACAACAACAGAGCAACCAGGCCTACCACTCCCTCGTACCTCGCAATAACCACTTGCTGCTTGCCCCATATCTCGAAATAATACCTTCCACATCCCTTCCCTCCCGCCCCTCAAACCAGATCTCAAAATGCCGATCGTCGAGGTTGGCATGATGGGCGTGCGACCCAACAAAACGCCCATGGACCCGAGTACAGCGGACGGCAAGATCCTCAGCGATGCGTGGAAAGCCGTGATCCAGGCGCCTGGCGGACCGCAGAGAGTCTTCTGGGGTCTTGAGGAGGAGGACAGGGGCAGGATTTGGGGGTGGTTTGATTGGGAGAGTGTAGAAGAGCATGAAGCGTTTGCGAAATCGTAAGTCCCCCCCCCCCCCCCCCCCCCCCCTCTTCGTTTCTGCTTGGCCATCTGCAGCGTCTCTGGAGTAATGCTTTGATCCCACGGGTATGGCCAGTGCAGGATTGCCATACGCATGGTGGAACAGAGGAGAATCGCTGCGAGATCTCATTGTGGCATTCGACTGCACCCATGGCCCATTCCGTAAAGCGTCTCTCAGCCTTGCCGTCTCGCACGTGTCGGTGCAGAGCTTCACGTCCATTTGCTGATCATGCACATGTAGAGTTGGCGGCGAAGCAACAAAGCGCTTTGTGGAAGTCTTCACGCCCGGCTTCACCAAGCACGCCCATGTGGACACGAGTGTGTTGAAGGCACCGGTGACGGAGGTCATGCTGGCCTCCTTCCCACCCGACATCACCCAAGACGCCAAAGATGCCGTGGCGGGACAGTTTCAGACATTCAAGGAAAAAGCGTTAGACCAGTGCAAAGACGTCAGAACTGTGAGTTCGGGCTGGGGCCTCGAGATCGACTTCCCCGTTCGCAACAGTCCGAACGGCGAGAAAGGGACATTGTTCTTTGCGTTGATAGGATGGGGAAGTGTGGACGAACACATGGCTTTTCGAGAGACGGAGGCTTTTAAGGAGAATGTGGGTCTGATCACGGGTATGGAGGGATATGTCAAGCTGGATATGTTCCATTTGAGTTGTGAAGTCATGGAGCGGGAGGACTAACGTATCGGTAGCGCAGGAAGAGTAGGGGGATGAGAGAGGTTAGGACCATTCATGAGGTAACGCGGTATGCAACCAAAACTCCTGCGAAGCGTTACGGAGCGCGGGCAAGCTGTTGATCCGTTAGACGTGCAGATCGTAGAGTCCAGTGCGCTTCAAGCGCTGCCGCAGGAGAGACAGCAGGCTCGAAGCCGTTGCGGGCTGTGTGTCTTGTTTCTTCCCTCGTATACTGCTTTTCCTTCTCGAGCTGCCTGTTGACGCACAATGACATAGCATTTTTAGGGCACCTTTTCTAGTCTTTGCTAATACGTCATGTTAACTAAAGCGTAAAACTTATAATGATTGTCAAAACGTACGAACCCTCTGAACCTGGAACAGTGATGCAAACAGTACATCTGCACCATGGTATAGTCGTGCGGACAGGCTTGTGAGCGGCTACTACCAACGTTGATGCCCTGCATGACGTCTACCAAGCTGTCACAACTGTCCACCAGACAATAAACAGCCACTCGGATGCCTTCGCTTCTGTATGATGTAGAGGACTCCAGTAGAAGTAGCAGTAGTAACGAGTGTTAGGTAACTGTCACGGTTCAGGGTGCTCTTGCCTGTCGAACCTCACCTGCCATGAGAGTGACTGCCATGTCACACTAGCGTTGTTTACAGCTACTCACCTATACATACTGTCCGTAGCTTCACCCAATACAACCTCAGCTCAATCCTTCAATATTTCCGCACATGCGTACTGATCACTCACGACCCACACCGCGACAGTAACAGACAGAACATCAAACTATGCGAACAGAACAAGAGTATAAATAGAAAGCATTCAAATATATTGCATAATGCTACAGTGGTTACACATACCTGACTGCTCACCCTCAACGGTGCGAGTAGCTAGCGTAGCTTAACTTTGCTACTGTTTACGCACCGGCAATACTTTTATACAAACGCTCTGACCTCCCTGCAGCAATGTGGCTCATGTATGCGTTCCCCATCGTGCTGGAGTCCGAAGGCGCATTCTTGTGTCTTGATTCATGGTAGATTGTGCTGTTTGATATCTGTTGAAGGGAAGTCGGAGTTATTGGATAGGAAACCACTGCCCAAACACCCCCTTCGGATCCCATTTCCTCTTCAGCTCCCTCAGCTTGGGCAGACTCGTCCCATAAATAGCCTCCAGACTCTCACCACCATGTGCGAAACTCGCGTATGTAGGATTTTTCATCGCATCAACGTTATCACTCCGAATATTCTGCACCTTCTTCCCGAACTTGTTGGCTTCAGCATCCAGAACAGCATCAGTGTACCGCGGAACAACAATCGCCTGCGCGAACGCTGAATCCCTCAGCGCCGGATTGAAAGCAGCGTTACCTGCAGGCACCGATCTTGCTTTGGTAAGATTATACCGCTCTATGAGCACCATTGAGTTGGGGCCCTTGGCTTGGAAACCCCTGAACAAGTCCAAATTTCAGGCCAGGTGTCTGGCTGCATAGACTAATGGTTGTGCTATATGCTGGCTTACGGTCACCGCGTGTGCAGAACCCAATATTCGCATCGTTCCAGTTCGTGTACGGTGTTATGGCGCTGGAGTTACTCGAGGGGCCGAGGTCATAAATGGAATTGAATGCCGCACGACCGGTTTCGTCAGTGTCTTTGCGCAGGAGGCCTGTTACAAGGACAGATGGCTCGTTGAGCGGTGGTCCGGAGCTGGTCAGAAACGAGGTAGACGGGTTGTTCTGGGTGAGAGGGAGGTCTTGGATTGCTTGGGCAATTCGAGGGAGTTTGTCGGGCGTGAAGAAGAGGCTGTTGATCCAGGCTGTGCGGTCGGTGAAAGTGGCAGGTTTGGCGTTTACAGTTGCTGAGATAACGACGCCAGAATTTGGTCCAGCGCCGCGGAGGGCCCAGAACAGATCGGGATAGGAGGTTGTAACTGCGTGAGCAGTGTCGGTCGGAGGCTGTGATCAAAGATTGTATTGCTATCTGTATTGTTGTTCGATAATGTTCTTGTCCAGGAGCTCTCAGCTCAGAGGTAAGTGCACTTTCCCTGGGGCAGTGCCTACTACATTAGGATATCATATGACTTAAGCCACGTGGTTACAGAGGTTCTGGAGACGGTGACGATTGAGCTGTCAGCGGTTGCAACGCGCAGAGAAATGATGTTGTCGAGGCTAAAGCCGATTTCACCCATGGGATTGCCTGAGTCAGTGTAAGGTCAAGCTAAGTTGGTCCGTGGTGACGTACCATGGCCTCCACCCAGGTAGGCACTGAGAAACCGACGCAGTTGCAGTGCCAGTTAAGACCAGTGCACCAGCAGCATCAGCCGCTGCAATAGTATCACCTATACTCGCACCGCCGCCGATGGTGGCTTGCTTCTTGTCTTTACTGACAGTGTCTGCATTGAGCCCAACAGGATTGATTAGCACACCAGTGCTGCCAAGCTTAAGGTTTTCGCCCATCCAACACCACCATTCTGCACAAAGAAAGGAACATTTGCCTTAGTACAGTACTTGATCTGGGCAGAGTAAGCATGGAAATTTGATATGAAATTTGTGTTGACGTACGATCGCAGCGACATCTTTCTCTGACGTAACATTGACTACGACTGACGGCAGTGGTGCGTTGAAGTTGCTCCATCTTGCTTGGAGTTCAATTGAAACTGACGAAGAAGTCGAGACCAGAGCTGCAAGATCTTGTGCGACTGTTGGTATCCTTACAGCAACAGCCGTAGTTGCAGAAGCCAGACAGAAAAGCGAGTAGGACTCTCATCGTGTATGAAAGTGAACTGCAGTGTCGTAAACTTGAGAGAGCGTCCAGCCGTCTAAGAGTATTCGCCATCAACAATGTACGGTCCGCCCGACATGCATGCATATGCAGGTCGGTATCTGACGGGAAGGGTTGTGAGTTGTGACATGAGCTTGAAACTAGTCAGCAGGGCGCGGTTTAGCCGTGCAGGTTGTGCGGTGGTGCAACCATAGACGGACATTCCATAGGTCTAGGACAACTTTCGGAGGTGAAACCAAAACGGGTTGCGGTAATCATACAGTAACTATTGCAGACTCATGAAAGATACATACTCTTGGCGGTAGATTCGACTCCTGAATCCTTCGATAAAAACAGGTCGTAAGTGTGGAGGGACATCCTTCCTACTTGAGCATGCATTCAACGTCTGTCTACGACAGTTTTCGTACCCTAGGTGTGGGCCAATCTGAATTGTTGAGAGATGCAGGTTCATGCACATGGAGGGATTGTTCGGCAGAGGCATTTGGGCCGCAGCATTAATGCAAGACGTTGGACGTGCAAAGCTGGGCAAGGCGTGCTCCGAAGCGTCGGAGATGTGACTTCCTCCTCGTTGATAACTGATTGCTTTATGTATGCGCTCGGCTCAGATATCCCCCGAATGGTTGCCTCCATTTCGACCCTACTGAGCACGAAAGCAACAGTACCAATATTCATTCCGTACTGTACTCAAAAACGAGAATGCCAGTTGACCGATAGCTGTCCATGCACCTCATACCAGCGTTAGATGGATGGTGACAGCCTCCAAGATGCCTTTTTCGTTGGTCATGGATGGGAGATCGGACGATGTCGATGGCGTCCCTTCGTAACGCGTAAGCTCCATCTCCTCCATCTCCTCCAGCTCCTTGTACGGTTTGCGAGCAAGACCACTGTACTTGACACCAAAACTGCTGTTTCTCGTACCTGGGAGCTTCGACGACCCGTAGCCTGAGCCAGTGTGCGTCGTTGCGGGCCGTGGATTGAAGTGGAACCAGATAGGTCCTAGTGTTGGCAGGCAAGCGCACACTATAGCCAGAGATAGCTCGATGTTGGTCCAGAAGAACACTGGCGCAGTATAGTAGATCACATCGTCCGGATGTTTGATGTATTCCTCTGCAATGGAGTATGTGGCTATGACGCGCGTAACGCTCACAGCGCAAACCCTTTCCGGTCAGTACGGTTTCGACAAGTACTCGATCTCCAGACTTACGCTGCGCCTAGCACTAGCATGCCAATTACAGCCAGCTTCTTTTTCATATCAAGCTTGACGCTCAACACCATGGGTATCGGGAGCACAAGAATGACGAAATCGGCGAGAACATCTGTGTACTATGGATGTTGTCAGCATATGTACGAGTCCGCATGCCGCGTCCAGAATTGTGTGCCATGATGTAAAAGAGAGACTTACGAGAAGAGCCAGAAACATTGGAACTGTCTGTACACAGCTGTTGCCGTAGTATGGCTCGATGAAGACTGTGATGGGGTAACATGTGAAGAGATGCGAGAATGTAAAGCTCATGGCCCAACCAACGACGTATGCAAGAACGACGTAGACGATAATCCGGAACTTGCGAACGTCGAAGATATTTATGTACATGACTAGTATCGAAGACTTGATGAGTCCAAGACCAACAATGGAGATCATGTTCAGCGCGAACTTCGTCTATGCACTCAATTAACATCCAGCTCGCTTGGTGGGTGCTTCACTTACCTCTTCGAAGAAGATCAGTCCTGGATCGTCCAAGATGGGGTTTCCATCTGCATCGAGTAGCTGATGATGTCCCAGATGGCTGTATATTGCAGCTGAATATCCGTTAGAACCGATGAACTTTTGTCCCATGGGCATACGTACTTGCAAACTGAAGTATGCAGCACGACAACGATACCAACTGTGATCAATCAGCTTCATCAGAACGCTACGTTTCTGCATGGTGAAACTGACCAGAGCTCCAATGGCGAGGTAATCGTCCCAAGCAAATCGTTTTGCCAGAGCCTTTGCCCAGATGCGGAGACACATGAATGTCAAAGGAAGTATCATGAATGCTACAGACAAGCCAATCATGCTGCCTTTGGTGTCGTTGTGCTTCATTGTGTCCAAGAATGCGATACGTCAATGTGGAAGTAGAGTGAGCGAAACGTTGATTTTCGCATCGATGGAGGTACTGACAAGACGGGTGTCAGCTTGCGGCCTAATAGTAGGCAACGAAGAACATTCGACGTACCTGGCTCGGAGTAATGATGGGGTCATGAGCTATTTAAAGGGTCTTGGGAGTATCAAATCATTGCTATATCGGGGGAAAGTCAGTAGATACTGAGCTTCACCTTTGAACTAACACGAAGTAGGTTTCGAGCCACCAAAAGCCAATCGGAAACGCATTCGTCGGTCTGCATCTCTCCAGCATCCCAGCAGGTAGGTTGCAAACGCCAAAACGAATATTGTCCACTGATTGCCAGGATGAAACTTGCAATTGCAAGAAGACAAAGGTGATCGGCGCAACCATGATAGCACGCAGTAGCTACAAACCCCACGCGCTCGTAGTGTATGGTTCCGGTATGGCGCCCGGACGGAAAGCGTTTGCGACTCACCACTGAGCATAGTCATTAACGGGTGAGTCCAAAGGAGTGGATGTGCCGTTGCGCTATGGCGGGGGACAACTGAACGATCAGGTCTTGCACTATAATGCACGGCTTTGTACCGTATTGTTACCCATGTTGACCGGATCGATTGAGGTCTATAGGTTGCGAAAAGGCCCGAGGGACCGGTACTTGAGGCCACAATCAGGGTGGTTACATGCAAACGAACACTGTCGAATAGGTGCTCGGCTGTGTACTTATCATAGAACTCAAGACCCTTCGACTGTGAACGTGATGATCGCACCAGCGGAAAGCCGTTTTGATCGGGATCTCGGCCAACCTGACATTATGTGCCCGTTATTCCGCTGAGCCTGCTGTAAAGCCTTCGGAACGAGGGTCCCGTGGCAGTGCAACCTGCACGGCACTAGGGATGTCTGTGAAAACCTAAAGATAGGTAACCGGTCTGGTCGGTATGGGGAAATGGACCATTCTGCCGTTCGTAGCTGTGCTGCATACATTAAAAGCGAGCCGATCTGAGTAGCAGGCTCGTAATCAACATGAGCGGTAGCCTGCATATCATTATGTGCCTTGCTGGTGTCGAAGGTAAGGAAGAGCTGAAGCGCCTACGTCACGACGCGCTAGAGACGCGTCGCGACTTCCTCGTGAGGTGTCGATGCAAGCGCCAAAACGGGAGGTTCGCGATTTGCGGCGCAGCAACCGAGGCACAGACAGTCCAACACCCGAGTTCAAAAAGCAACGAGTGCACAAAGTGACGACAAGCTACACGGAGGGAACAAGGCCATATCAATCGATCAGCCCATCATGGCTCGACGCGAAGATATGATCTGCACCGAACTTTTCCCAGCTACTGTGATCTCTGACCGACGTGTTTTAGCCTAGGACTACAAGGGCTTTTAAAATTGTCAGCAAACGCCCGGTTTTAGTCCTACAGAGGCCTACTTCAAGTAGCACAACTGCATTCATAGCATTTCGCTGGGATTGTCTTTTTATCTCCATCGTGCTCAACCTTTACAGTAGTGGCAGTATTCCCCACACTCGTGTTGCCATGGCCATCAGCCCGGCATATATCGAAGACGAGCCTGCTATTGCAGCCCTCTGCGCAGCCGCGTTCTGGGAGTAAGACTTTTTCAGACGCGTAGTCTACCCGCGCCAGAACGAATTCCCAGATGATGTGAAGATCTTCTGGCACGAATGAATTCGTGCAGGTTGACGGGAGAGGGGCAAGGTCATCCTAGTCACCGTCACAAACGATAAAGAGCTAGAAGGAATCTCTCAGGTCGCAGATTACAACATCAACGGAACACATGGCACCAATGGTATGGATAGAAGCCGAGGGGAGAAGGTTGTCGGCGTAGCAGTATGGCAAAGAAAGGGAGATGAGGAGTGGGCGCAGCGTGTCAAGGATGAGCGGGAGGATTTTGGTAAGTCCCCGATTGAGATTAAACGATAGTGGAAAGCGAGGCAGTTATGGAGTGCAGGTCATTTTATTTCGTCGTATGCTATACGCATGCTAGCGCCCGAATTCTATACACGCGAACTGGCAAGTTCTAGGCATCGACGCCTTCCCGCCCCTCCAGTCCTCTCATAACCGTGCCATTGTTCCTGAAGGAGCAAACATCCTCCAGCAGGTAGAATCATACTATGCCCACCATTTCAAGGGCTCTTGTGCCAATAGTTGGTACTTGCACCTTCTAGCCGTGGATCCGGACTATCAATACCACGGATTTGGTCACGAACTGATTGACTGGGGTAAAGGAAAGGCGCGTGAAGAGGACGTGCATGCAAGTGTGATTGCAAGCGACTCGAAAGAAATATTCAACTTCATGGTTTTGATAATATCGTTAGATACATGGGTGACGGCGAGGGTAATCCGATGGGACTGAGGAAGGTGAGAGGCAGTGCGATCATGTTCATGTGGCGCGAAGGTAGTCTGGAAGCGCTGCGGTCGAAGGCGCGTACGAGCGGGTGATGCGTGCGCCTTGCTAACAGGGTTTGGTGTCGATGTGCGACTGGAGTTCATGATGTCCTTCCTTCTCAAAGCATCCTCCTCCTCACGACCCCACACTTCAGAGCTCGAGTTGATAGAATACAGCGTCAGGGTGGCTCTCGTAGTACGCGGGAACCTCCACAAACCCGTACTTTTCATACAGCTTTCTTGCAGTTGCCATGCTGCTCAATGTGTCGAGGAGGATCTCTTTATATCCTAACTCCCGTGCTCTAGCAATGGCGACGTCCATCAACAGCTTGCTAACTCCCAGTCCTCGAGACTCCGGTGTGAGATAGAGACGTTTGAGCTCGCCACTTTGCGAAGCGGTGAACGCACGCAAACCCATACAGCCAACAGTTTTTTCTATCGCAGGTCGATCGTGGGATGTAGGCATCTCGATGTACGCAAGATACAGCGCACCGTCGTTCTCCACGGCGTACTTTCCAGGTAGGCTTGCGACTTCGTGGTCAAAGTTTTGGAAATCGAGCTTAACATCGGCGAAGTCAAGGAGGAATTGCTCGTACGCGAGAAATAATTCTTTCACGGCTTCCTTGTCGGCTGGGAATATGGCTGGTCGAATTTTGACGATAGGCCGGATACTTGCAGCCATGGTCGGAAGGTTGTCTCGAATGGAGATGCTAGGGATCGACGATATTTAGCAATGCTCGTGCACCCTGTCGCGAGAAGTTACGAGCTCAGTTACCAATTGTTTAAAGTTCGCATCAACGGAGGATGCTTGTAGTTTGTCGTAGTAATGAGGTGAGATTCGGGGAGCATCCCACTTGGAGATGACAGGGCGTTGTCAACAGCGCCTTTGGAGCGTGTTGGTGAGTCAATCCCTGATCTCAGCCCATAGTACACGCTAACACACGCGGAATCCCACATTTCTATGGATCAACCCAATTTGCCCTTGCTAATGTTGGGTTTGCCGCTTAGTTACCTGGTTATAAAATAACAATTTTGGAAGCTTTTCATCAATAGCTACAACAGTCTGGTCTTGTGGTGTAAGTTCAGTCACAAATCTTAAGCTTCCGAGCTCTGCTAACAACCATCCAGCTAGTGGTATGATTCTCGCTTAGGGTACCTAAGTAAACGTGCGAGAGGCCCCGCGTTCGAGTCGCGGCAAGACCCCTTTTTTGTTTCCATGGCGTGGTTAGAGTACTTTTTTGCATACATACATGAGAACTTACATTACGTGTGATACGGTATGTGCGCGTTCATGTTTTTGCATCCTATTATGCTTACGATCCACGGACTGTGAACGTCGCATTATCACGTAGAAGGACGACAGGGGGGTGGGCGAGTGAAATGCGTAGCCACAGCCAAAATCAGGAATCACCACAACACAATAAATAGTCTTGCTTCAAATTTCCACGACGAGTGCATTGAGTGTGTTGGAGCTGGTTACTAAAGCTTCGGCTAATTCAGTAAGGTCCCATTGATGCAATGATTTTCTTTGAAGGTACGAAGTAGGAGATGAATTGGTCCATACACGGAGAGGACACTCAAGTGCTGCTACCATCCCTTAACAGCGAGTCCTAACGTACTACTTACTAAGGTAATACTTCGTGTCCGTATGGTATTCTGTGAACGAGTTGCGACGCAGTACAGATGCTTCACGATCGACACCGTGGGTCTGATACAGCCTCACCTTCACAATCTCATCCCATCCTTGTCACCCACAGGTACACGGCCAGCTTTCAGCGCTGCCAAATTTTGGTGCGCGATATGACGATAGCGATTCCGTTCGGCGCGAATGTCCATCGAGACGTTGAAAGCCCGATTGGCTTGCATATTGATCTCATGCTCAATGGATTCAAGAAGTCCGACTGCCCCTAGCCTCATCGGCATTCCCACCTTGATTAGCAGGAGAGTTGGCGGGATCAGCTTCGTCATCCCATTTCTCAGACCACACAATCTATTTATCCTCATCCTCATCAGTATCAGCATCACGTACGCAGTAATACTCCTGCTGTCCATGCCTCTGTACCCACCGACCATCAACGCGATAACAGTGTGTCGTGTTTCCTGACAGTGAGGTAGTTGCAATCGCTGTGTCCTTTCCTATGCGTTCTCGAACGAGTTCGTTGAGTTCATAATCGGTGCAATCTTGCTCAGAATATTCGCTAGCCTGTAAGCGCTCATGAGGAGATGGGCCATCTTTGGTGTGGAAGTTGGGAGATATAGCTATGCAGCGTTCTTACTGCATGTGCCGGTGTTGGTGGAAGTGCAGAGTGGACTGGATAAGGAGGCATGGAAAGAGTCGAGCGTAGGTCTAAAGGCAGTTTATGTCAGTCTGATAGGCATCGAAAAATCCTGGCTGTTGGGCTGGCTAGTGAAGGATGTGTCAAATATGGCAAGACTCAAGGAATCGATATTGGAGGTAAGAGAGCCGTTCGTCTACATGTCGGTTGATGCAAGTTGGATGATGACTGGTTGACGGAACCGACTAGGCTTCTGATCAAGGAAGATGTGGTCGGAAACAAGGTTCAGGATGTTCTGGTAGTGTAGACCTCAGAAATGCGTGCCAAGGATACGGGATCCTACAAGACGCGCAATGCACTGGTGATGGCTGCACGCCACAGCTTCCGAAGGTGAGGTGTAGTCCTGCAGCCAATCAGCAACAACGGATAAACAATTCACCAAATATCGCGTCAGACCGATCATGCTGCCAAGACGAGGTAGTTGGCACTGCATGTGTCATGTCAGTCAATCCAATGTGTGTACAGAATGTCGCCAGGTAGGTGCTAAAGGTATTGTGGAGCCGGAGTTCGAAGAAAGGATCATCAAACATTGATCCTGAAGTCTTGGTGCCAGTCGATCACCGTTACCGCTATCGTTACGCAACTGATGCCACTTGCTAGAACTTGAAGGCTTTCAACGCTGGTTCAACATGTCATCAGGAATGTCAGTGCAAATGTGACGTCGCTGGAAATATGGTCTTTCCCAAAATGCATTACGGTGCATGGCATGGGCGAGGCTGCAGGCGTCTGTGTCCGCTTGAACAGCGTGGCGTAGGATGTCGAGTGTTTCGAGTGCTTGCTACGGTGGCTGGCAGCCCACGTGCAGTAGTGAACAGCCTCTACGGGTATCAGCAGCTTTTAACTCGCGCTCCCAGGAGCAAGTCGTGTTCAAGGACTCGTGTTTCCCCAGATTGAAACCCCACTGCACTTGAAAACAGTTTCGTGGTGGTGAGTGATGCCGAGCTACGCGGCGGCGCCGGACTTTGGAGGGATCCCGGCATCAAACCGTCGTCATTGCGCTCTTAACCGCAAGCCTCGCGCGCCAGGCAAAAAGTCTGCATGAAGCCAGCGGATCTCACGATGATAAACAACGTCGCTCGTTCCTCCTTACTGCTCGTGCGCGCTGGAGGCTGTCTGTGCTTTGGTGGATCCGCTCACCTCCTGGGACCTCTCACTGTTCACCTCGTGCCCTGTTGACGATCTGTCGCTCGTTTCCTCGAGGCTCCATTCGCTGCTTGGCAATTGCGTCGCCCATTGCCCCAAGTGCGTGAGTCGCAATTAGCACTCAACATTTCTCCCCGGCTCCCATGTGCAGTCATTGTACATCCACTGCACGCAAAATAGTCATTGCAACTGCTCGGACACCGCCTGTCGCTTCCACATCGAACGTAGCCGCCGCCAAACAAACGTGATAGCGTGTGGGAGGAACGACGTGCCTGCGTACCACATTCTCTGGACCCTTGAATTGGAAGTCACGACTCTGAGGCAGGAACCACGCGGAACCACGCTGTGCACCCTCTTTAAATGCGCCAGTCCCCGCTGACAGGGCGAAAACCTGGACGCGACCACACCGTCACTTACCCTGAAATTTTGACCGCGCAACCCTCGGAACATGGCGACGCGGTGAAAGACCGGTCTGAAGGCACAGCAGCAGGAACACCAAATTGGAAGGAAGTAAAGAGGAGGAGCGAAGAGGGGCATGTGCCATTCCAGCGATCTGCAACAACAAGACGTCAACCCAGTACTTCCGCGAGCGCCGCACCCAACACAACCATGTCGAATGAGAAGGCACGCCCTGCTGCAGGGCCGCCCGCGAAGGACATAACGTCAGATAGCATGGTGGAGGGACAGAATAGCAGGTGGAGGCTGCGCCTGCGCAATCCCTGGGCATGCTCGCTATATACGCTAGTCACGACACTGCTGGGCTTCGCCGCGCTGTTTCTCATGGCACAGTCATTCACGACGCGCCAACTCGATACCAAAGGCTGCGAGATGTCATACATGCGACCTATCTTCCACAAGTTCGACGACTTCGACACCGAGCACACCCGCTTCGCCAGCAAATACTCGTTGTACCTCTACCGAGAGGGCGGCATTGACGATGACAGCAGGGTATGTTGTGACACAAATGGGGAATGGTGTAAGCTAATGAGGTGCAGGTCAAAGGTGTGCCAGTCCTCTTTATTCCTGGAAACGCTGGTAGTTATAAGCAAGTACGACCGCTCGGAGCTGAGGCAGCATACTACTATCACAACGCCCTGAGACACGATGAGGGCGCGAATCGAGCAGGAAAGAGGCCGCTCGACTTCATTACCGTCGACTTCAATGAGGACTTTACAGCGTTTCACGGTCAGACATTACTCGATCAGGCCGAATATCTCAACGATGCCATCACATTCATTCTATCTCTATACCACACTCCAGGGCGCTCCGCGCGCGACTCGAATTTGCCCGACCCCACATCAGTCGTCATCCTTGGTCACTCAATGGGAGGCATGGTAGCTCGTACCATGCTCACAATGCCCAATTACCAGTCGAACTCGATCAACACCATCGTCACACTTGCAGCGCCGCACGCGAGGCCTCCCGTGTCATTTGATGGAGACATCGTACGGCTCTACAAGGGTGTCAATGACTACTGGCGACACGCTTACTCGCAGAAGTGGGCTATCGATAACCCACTCTGGCACGTCACTCTAATTTCGATAGCTGGTGGAGGTCTTGATACTATAGTGTCTTCAGACTACGCCAGTATAGCGTCTCTGGTCCCTGAGACTCACGGCTTCACCGTCTTCACGTCTTCGATGCCCCACGTATGGACTGGCATGGACCACTTGGCTATCACTTGGTGTGACCAGGAGAGAAAGAGTGTAGTGCGCGCACTGTACGATGTGATTGATGCGTCAAGAGCGACTCAGACGGTACCTCGCGCCGAGCGCATGCGGGGGTTTAAGAAGCAGTTTCTTACGGGTCTGGAAGATGTCGCTGAGAAGACCCTACCGCATAAGGAAGCAAAGACACTTCTCACGCTGGAAGATGATAGTGCAGTTATCTCGCAGGGCGAGAAACTGGTGCTGCGAAGCCTCGGCAAATCACAGCACAAGCCAAAAGCATATCTGCTCCCAGTGCCACCCCAAGATGAGCACCACAAGAAGAAGTTTACACTTTTGACCAACGAGAAGCTGGACGCCCCCGGTGAGAATGGTAAGCTTGAGGTCTTGTTCTGCAGTGTCTACCCACACCAAGCAGGACAGTCTGCGGCGCTCTTCTCGATGAACATGGACCTCTCTGGTGACAGCTCTGGTGCTACTCGACTGGCATGCAAGAATGCCGCATCAGATGTCATTGTTCTCCCAGAGTCTACACGGCAGTCTACCTTCCCATTCAGGACAGATCAACGTCCCTTCTCGTATTTACAATACGACCTCAAGGATCTGTCAGAGCAACAATTTGTCGCTGTTTTCGACAAGTCTGGTGAACGTAGTACCGGTTGGGTGGTTGCTGAGTTCAGCAACGCGTCTGATTCGGTGTACAAAGTCGACATGGGTTTGCGACGTCTTTTGACGACCGGCTTGAACTTCAGACTCTCTGCCCGCCGCTCTTTGACCATGGACATCAAGGTTCCGGCTTTGCATTCAGCTTTGTTAGCATACAAGGTCCACATTGGCAAGCAGTCCTGTGATCGTGGAGAGCTGTTTGCACCTCTACTGCGACAGTACATCACCGATGTCCACGAGAGCAAGTTCTTCGTCAACGTCAGAGATGCTAACCTCAACTTGCACGGTGTCTCACCATACATGCCACCTACACTGATTCCCAAACAGACAACAAGCGGGTTGTCGCTGCAGATATGGTCTGACCCAACCTGCGACAGCACCGTGGAAGTCAACCTGAGGGTCGATATACTAGGAAGCATGGGGAAGCTTTGGATGCGCTATCGTATCGTGTTCGCAGCGTTCCCGCTACTCATTGTGGCCTTGGTTATACGCCAGCAGTTCAGGGTTTATGATGAGACAGGCGTCTTCATGAGCTTCGCCAACGGCTTCAACGAATGCCTTCGGACATCCCTACCACTTGCCTTGGCAGCCTTGACGTTCCTATCGATCGCTTTAGCCGGCGCACGCAACGAGAGTTTCAAGCACTGGCCGCTGAACGCCGTGGCCAGTAACACCACTGCACTTCTGGACGATACCAACCACGAGCTGCTGCTTGGAACGGACGACACCTTCTTCTGGTTCCTGGTACCACTGTTTGGTCTCATGTGTATCGGTATATGTGTCGCCCTGAACTACGTCACACTGTTGCTCACCTATGTTCTCACCACGGTGTATGCATTGGTCAGCTCTGCAGCCCTCCGGAACGAGGACGGACAACGAACACCCGGAGCATTTGCTGTGACATCGACTCGACAGCGCACTATCACGACGTTGATCTTACTGTCACTTGTATCGACTGTCATACCGTACCACTTCGCCTACATGGTGCTCTGTCTGGTGCAACTGGCCACCTGCATCCGGGGATTCAGACTGGCAAAGGAAACGCGCCTCGATACAAACTACAACTTCTACAACTATGCGCACTCTATCCTCATCTTGATGATCTGGATCCTGCCGATCAATCTGCCAGTCCTCGTGGTCTGGGTACGGAATCTTGCTGTCCATTGGTGGACGCCATTCTCATCTCATCACAACATCCTATCGATCATGCCCTTTATCTTCCTAGTCGAAACCCTCAGTACTGGGCGCATGGTGCCGCGCGTCCAGTCTCGATACTCCTTCCTCACCAATATCTTCCTCTTCTCCATTGCCGCATACGCTGCCGTATATGGTGTGACATACGCGTACGTACTCCACCATCTCGCCAACATACTGTGCGCTTGGCTAGTCGCTATACACTTCGACATGCAAAACATCAGCGCCAAGAGAATGGGCGGCATCTTCGAGACAGGCGGAGAGTCAAACACCGACTCAAAGAAACGACCATGACCCACACAGTGCTTTTCTGTTTATCTGCATTTCTTCTTTCACGCATTGTTGCTACTGCGATTACCCCGCGCCTCATCCGCGCATCGTTTGGATATTGGCGTTTAACCGGCGTTATACGTCCCACCAGCATTTTCGTCTAGCCATAGATCTTTTCTTACCGGCATATGGAAGCCTTCGGGCGGTGTTGGATTCACTTGTCAAGATCTTGCATACTGGCGCAATGTGCATATTCACTACCGGCGCCCATTGCTTTGGGGGATTTAATGGGCCAGAGGGCCTGCAAATGGCTACAAGCCGCGCTTGAGCACAACGGGGATTGAGAGGCATCAGCGTAAAGCTGTAGGATCTATTGTCTAATGAAAGACTTACATTTCAACAAGGTCTCCATTCGTTGCATATTGGGCAAGATTGAGGGTGCGTCTGCTGTGTCGACAAGAATCCTGCCTTCCCGCGGAGAGCTGGGCGGTGACTGCTCGATTGACGTTAGCGTTGTTCACTCAGGTCCTTCCTTTGCAGCGTCACTCTTACAACTCAACACAATAGATCACGACTGATTGCACATCACGCCACTTGTCATAGCAGACTGTATCCCCAATGCCGGCGGTACGCATGCAGCCAGTGAAAGGGGATTGACTGCGCCAGGGCAATGCGACAGGGCTACAACGTGACAAGCATCCTCATGTCTTCTTTTTAGGCAACCGAGTACTAAGGTGACTGAGAGTATTTATCTCATATAACATACTAACCACTGTCAGAAGCCCTAGCTCACTTTCATCCACCGCTGACTGCCAGTAGCCTTCAGCTGGGATCAACAAGTGCTCACCTTTACTACCATTTCCAGATTCTGCATATACATCTGGGCTCAGCTCAAAACGCATTGCGTTACTCACGACGCTGAGGCTGCGCCAGCTCTTTCACAGGCTCTACATTCAACTACCGCACCTTCACCGCCTCGCGACGCCCACATATCCAAGCCGGCTCTGAGTGGCGTAGCTATTGTGACGAAAGCAGCACGTGTGCACATGGACAGATTCGACTTCGAGGTAACGGAGCCCAGACGTGGCGGAATAAGGCGTCTTGCTGTTCAGATAGTCCCCGTAATAGTATCCTTGCTCGTCACCGAGCCAGAACAACGGCCCAAAAGATACAGTGGACTATCAGTCTCATTATTAGACCCATGAAGATAAATAAGAAAAAAATTCTTTTGGGAATGAGGCTGCGAACAATGCCTTTGTATGCTTGAGATCAGCCCATGTGGGAGCGGGGACTGCATGCTCAGCCGCACCTTGGCTACACTACGTGCAGTTGTCTGAAGTGTCGAGACCAGAAGCAACCAACCGATGATTTTTGACACCAAACCTTATGTCAAGCCACTATCTGTACGGTCGTCTTCATGACCAATTCCGACTGAATCTGATCCGTGGGAACGCAGTGTACGGGCTAGAGCGCTACATGAAGCTACATGAACGGTGTTTCTTGGCGGTGATACATGCATGTCCGCCAACCTAGAACTAGTCGGAATCACAGCCCAAAACATTCGGTGGTGCTTTAGTGACAGTCATTAGTTGCATTTTGAGATGTTGGCCAGAATGTAAGATGCAGCCCGTAGGTCCTGCGGCCTCGCAGGACCCATGACCTACCAAAGTATGATGTTTGTTGGTCCTGAAAGACCTGTGTTCTATAACAGCCGAAATGAAAGTGCAGAATGAACTCGCCACGGTATTGTTGTTCTTTGATGTGATGAGCAAAAATCTAGCAAAAACATACAACAGCGGGTATTCGCTAGTGGTCACCCACCTAACTACTAATCCGCCGGTACGTTGCTTAAATAGGGCTGAGCGAACGGGAAGCCTTGTTTTCAACGTCCTATGGTCGTATGTGAAAGAAATGCTGTTTCTTATAAAACATATTGTGATATTTATATAACTGCAGCAGCTATGAAGACGCGCCCACCATTTGCAGCCAGTTGGGAGGGGCAATGAACTTTGCATACTTCATCGGGTATTCTCTCTCAAATGACCAAAAGCCATCCAGAAGTATAGATTTCTTCTTCGTATAACTATAAGTGGCAGCACTAACTGTGAAGAACCCAAGAATCGTTTAAACTCGTCCACTTTGTCCATTACTAGCAAGGTTTTAAATAACGGAGACCCTAAAACAGTACCTTGACACACTGCAGATCAGACAGGAGAACTTGTTGTCTCCTGGCCGTTCACCACAAGAACCTTTAATTTTACTGTATTTGGTACCTGTTTGTTGCTTGGCTCGGGAGTTGGGGGAGATTCGATCCTGAAGCTGATTTCGGCGCCAGGTATACCAATCACTTGTTTCATTGTAGCCATGGCAGTTTCGATAAGGTTGAAGCTCAGTGCTCGCGCCAGACAATGGCACTTACAGTATCGGTCCTAGGCATATATATATACACAACTGTCGAACTGCACATTACTAATATATAAACCAGCCGTTTTGTGTGCACTAATGATGTAAAAATGTATCAGCGGTGTCGCCTGAAAGTAAAAGAAATTCTCTGCAAACAGAAACACTTACACTGGCATGTCTGTAACAGATTCATAAGTCGCCAAGAGCGCTATAAGCAGGTCGCATAGCCAGGGCCGCTAGCGGTGTCGCCTGAAAGTAAAAGAAATTCTCTGCAAACAGAAACACTTACACTGGCATGTCTGTAACAGATTCATAAGTCGCCAAGAGCGCTATAAGCAGGTCGCATAGCCAGGGCCGCTAGTGGTCGCATAGCGTATCCTAGAGTACCAGTAATGACATATTTGGATTTCTGATCGTGTAGCGCACGCTGACATAACTTGCCCTTGCTTGTGCGATTTCCTCTTGATCGCCACATTCTTTTACAACATTTGCGCACCTGCCTACTCGGGCATTTTGTGAAGAGATACCCGACAACAGCCGCCATTAGCTGGACGAAAGTCGATAGACTTTTGCAACTTAAATAAAGACGCAACAAGGCTCCTTATTCTCACACTACAAGCAGTCTTTGCTTGTTAAGACGACCTGCAAGGGATGGCATCGGCTTGTATCGTCTGTACGACGATTTGGCACCAAAGAATTTACCGCGGTGACTGCATCTAATAATGTGTTGTATAGGCTATAGGCGAGATGCAGTGGATACTATAAGCAGGGTGCATTAGCGCTGTCGGTACGATACCCGATTGGACCTAAGAAGAAAGGCTTTGAATTCCAGCGTTCTTTCATGTGGTTCAGTTTGCCGCACACAGACACGATGGCTATTACCTGTAGCATATGATGCACATTCTGAGTAAACCCGATCCGTTTGATTTATAATGTGCAAATCGAAACTTTTCGGAGCGATATTACCGAAGCGCATTTCGTTGGAATGCCGATAGAGCGACCCCTACACGACACAGATCCGGATCTATATGCATTGCAAAAGCGCACAATCGATGACACACCATTCGAGTTCTTCAGACCACCTATCAAAGCCAACTGCACCGTAATCGAAGCAGCGGAGGCACACGGTGTGCGCAGCTATATCTTCATACCGTGCATCGTGTATGGAGAGGGAGAAGGTTTCGGGAATAAGGTCTCGATTCAAACCGTGGCTGTCATCAAGGCCGCAAAAAAGCTTCGTTAGGTGTATCGGGTCCAGAAAGATAGACCAATCTGACCTGTCTGCCATATTCTGGACAACACAAGCTGTCACGGTTTAGGGTGCTCCTGCCTGTCGTACCTCACCTGCCATGAGAATGACTGCCATGTCACACTAGCATTGTTTACAGCTACTCACTTATACACACTGTTCGTAGCTTCACCCAATACAACCTCAGTTCAATCCTTCAATCCTTCCCACATGCGTACTGTCCACGCTCCTTGACAGTCTCGCGATATCAACGTAAAACCCTAACACCCAGAAAGCATTGCGATTATTAGCTCACAAGACTGAGAGGGTGTGGAAACAGCTGCCTGCATCGAGATATATAGAGATTTGGCCTATATGTGATGAGATGGAGAAGCTCAGTAACCCCCCACCCTAACTCACGTGTGCCCGCGGTATTTGAGAAGCATGCATACCGAAAACGGGAAGGCCCACGACGGTCTTCTTGAAACGGTACTACGACAGACGGCGGGTCGGGCGAGAGAACTTGTTTTTAACGTCCTATGGTCGTATGTGATAGATATGATCATTTTGCAATATATGTCGCAGGTCACGGATTGCGGACTTATCCGCATAGAGAAAACGTGGCCTTGTCGGCCCTCGTAGCCCAGAGAGCGGATCTGTAAAGGAGGGTGTCGATTTTTTACATCGTGTCGGCACGGTGCATATAGCAAATCGGAGTTTGTGAGGACAACGCTTCGCTCTTGTGGATTGGTCAAGTTCTGAATAAGCATCCATGAGCTATCAGACCAAGCTGGCCCCCTCCCGTAGTATTGATTGTGATCGTGCTGCTGGGCTGAGTGATATCAACCTTTGAGCGAAATGTAAGATGCGTGTTGGTGGGGAAAAGAAAGCAACGTCGAGATTGCAACCGGGAGGGAGCGTCTGTAAGTTGGGTCGCGGTGCGACGACGTCACGGCGTTGAGAGCGACCTCGGCACGCCAAGTTCCAGCTGCTCTCGACACGGACAAGGGGATTTGTTTGGCAGCCTGTGTGGCTAAACATTACAATGTGACACTACTGCGAGACCGTATGCTATTGATGGTAGTTGTTTATCCCGCTATTGCTGCCGTTGCATTGCATTATTTGTGCTACTCATTGAAGGACCAAAGAATCAATCAATGCCTTCTTGATCTGATTCTCATCAAAACCCCCTGATAGAGCCTCCTCCTGCTGACTGAGCTCAAGCGCCCTAGCAAGTTCTTCATCGTCATCGCTTTGTACCGCTCCCTGCTCTCCATAATCCTCGCGCCACTCGCCCGATGGAACTGTCCGTGGCACTGCGTTGCCATTTGCTCCAGATGCCGAAGGAGGTCCGGCATCAAGCTCGTACAGGTCCTCATCGTCGTCTTCATAAGATGGTGGCGTGTTCCAGTGACCTTCCTGATGCAACAGAACTTGCATTGGCCTGGGTGGGCCGCGGCTTGCTTCGCTGCGACGGCGAATCCAGTCAGGAACATCGCCGGGCATTTCGGGGTATTCGACACTAGAGCTCCTGTTTGAACTTGATGCGTGCTCAATATGGCTCGCGTAAGATATGTTGCTGTCGCTTGCCGGGCGTTCTAGAGAGGTATAGGCGTGCCGTTTCTCACGAAGAGACTGTCGTTTGTTGAATATCTTTGGGCGTTCGGGCTTCGGCGAAGTCGGATGAGAAGCTACAGCCATCAGTTATTTGGCACAACGATGTAGAAGCAATGGAACTGAGCAAGCACTCACTAGTCCTCTTGAGAGGTTCGCCATCAGCGAGGACCCGTGGAAAACCGCTGATGGGAAATCCAGACTGCCCACGTCGCAGAGTTCGATCATCAGCCAGATGTAAATCAATCGACACTACTGCATCTTCCGAAGTCACTTGTATGACAACCGAATCTAGATAAAACAGCCCTCTGTCTGTCATTTCGCGAATGTTCTGGGTTGTGACATGTATGCATTGAGCTCCTTCATCGCACATGCTCTCCTGTATACGGAAGTACGGCTGAAAGTGAGGTTGCTGATGCCTGCGTATATAGTCCCCTAGATCGCGTAGATTGTGGGATCCTGCAGCAAACCTGCACTGAATATTGCCTTGAGAGAGTCAGCAATCATGGCTGTGAGGGTTAGAAGCAGCTTACCTTGCACTATGATGTGATCCTCGGTAGGTCTTGGTGGGCCGCACTTTTCGAAGTAAAATGAACTTGCGACAAGTCTTTGCGCAATGTTCTTGATCTTTGTCTGCGAGCCGTGTGTACGAAGACTACTTTTGATCTCGTCATGCAGAGTGTCAAGCTGTGACTTGTCGTCCATTTTTGGGATGCGATTCTTCGTCCTTGGATTGACGCGAATGTATCTCTCGGCTGCAGCATGGGGGATTGTTCCGACTACGTCTTTACGGAACTCTTTCCAGGTCAGTTCGGCATCCAGAGCACTCTCGACCCGTTTTTTGAAAATTGTCAGCCATGATTCAATTTCAGAGAACGCTTTCAGTCCAGGCATAGAGCGTGTTTGACGCGGTGCAGGCTTGACCTGGTTCAGCATCTTTCGGATTTGTAAGCGTCTGCTGTCGAAGCGCGAGGCACTAAGAAAGTCATCAGTGTCCGCTCCATGTTGGCCGGTTCCTATCGAGAGCAGGATGTCCGGAGGTCGTTGATCGGCATCGGGCCAGAGAAGTTTGCTTTCGTAGTTGGCGATTCGCACTGGGTTGTTGTGGAACACGGCACCGTCCACATATCCTTCCATTGTCCGTGAGTTTCTGAACGGTTTGAAGTATGTTGGGGCGGCCGAGGTTGCTCGGGCTCTGTGCTCAAGTCAGTGAACTCTTTCCCGCAGGTACATAACAATGTGATGGCTTACGCTTCTCGAATCATAACATCGTTCTTTGGATTATCAGGTCGGATCAGTTGGTAGCCAACTAAAAGCAAATCAGCAGAAGTCAAAATAAATGTCATCAGTAACTTACTCTGTTCGTCGTCTGCGCGGTTGTAGTTTGTGAAGATTACGGCTTGCTCAGCGGTTTCCGTTGCGGAAGTAACAGCAACTTTGCGCGTGCAAGCAAGCGGAGTCTCACGCACTCCACCGAACATGGACTCATCCTTGAAGCACTCACTGAATGCCTCTTCGAGGGGGTGAGTGCGGTATTTTGTGGTTCCTAAGCTCACCCCCCCGAAGAATTTGGGGGTAAAAGCCTTCTCAACCATCCTCAAGAAGAGCTCCATACAGCGGTCTATAGACCAGTTCTTGATACCAAGACCAAGCGCTAAGATGCCCCCAGTACTATGGCATGGGTTAGTCTTTCATTCTTATCCTTTGCTCTGTGACTGCAGCTGTTGATGTTACATGGGATGTGTACTAGATTTACTGACCTGGTGCCAACAATCAGATCGAAAAATTCTTGAACTTTGATGCGACTGCCTAATTCCATTTGAATCTGGCGAAGTACTTCCAAAATGACTATTCCCCTCACGCCACCCCTATACGTATCAGCTGAAGCTTCGAGTGTTACCGAGGCGATGACTTACCCATCAAGAGATAGGATACGCAAACCTGCCAGCGGCGGTTTGAAGTAAACCTCCACTGGTGTAGAGAAGACGGCGTCATAGTCATGTAGAGGACATGTTGCGATCGTAAAGGAACCAGAGAGCTCCTCGTGTGGCTTACCGTAGCCTTTGACGCAAGGCGTGCAGAGCACATGTCCACAAGGCAGGGGATGCTCAGCCAACTCCCTCAGACAACAGAAGCAGGTAGCATGACTGACAAAATTCCGAGCGCCACCCATGTGGTAGTAGAAGCTGGTGACGTTGGCGTGATGAAGCTTGGTGGTCACCACGACCTCGTCCGCGGTTGGGGACATGGTCATCTGCGACTCAAGTTCGTTCTGAAAGGTGGTGAGGTAATGCTTAAGGTGGATGAACCAGTCCTCGCAGAAGTTGTCAAAGGTAAAACTTGACTCGTAAGGACCTGATCCGATGACGTTGCCACGTTGATTTTGGTGTCCTTTGGCATGGCGTTCTTTTACATTCACACATCGTTCACCACGCTTGTTAGCGAATGAACATGGCCAGAAGATGGCACAAAAGTCGTCAAGGGCGCTATCGCAATGATCGATGTATTGCTTCTCCAGAATCTGCTCCGCTGATCCTGTGTAATTGATGTATCAGCGATCTCACTTGTCAAACTACTACCGATTCAAGCGAGTTTTGAAGCGATCAGAGGGGAATACCTTTTAGATCCTGGCGGACGCAATCCAATAGTATGCAAGAAGCCACCATATGGCTCAATTCCTTGAAAATCTTCCTCGGATCGTCGAATTGAGCCTTCATTGCGACAGCCAACTTCAGGATGTTACCCCCGAAATCTAGCGGTATAGGGTTGATCTTGAACGAGATGTCCATGAAGTTGAAGGGCGTATGAAGATCCTGCGAGAAGTGGTCGAATGCGCATTGTAAATAGACGTTGAGGTTTTCCGAGTTGGAAAGCATGCGGGACCTCCGTTTGGCGTTGAATGACTCGACGCACCGGCGACTGATCACTTCGCGGAGTTTCTTGACTTGATCATCGATCATCATATAACGGCCTTCTCCCGGGATTCGCACCACCGTAATGGAAGAGTAGTAACATTCAAGCAGGTCCTTCATGGTCTGAATGCGTCGGCCTCTTCCGACCCAATAGTCTCGTAGGTCTCTATATGTTGGATCTCGACCGATGGCTCCTGCGACGTTGGACATGAGCAATTCTGTCGCGTATTCGGGGTCCCATTCTTGCTGGCCGACTTTGGTGTCTGTCGCGTTGAGCGCAATCACAGCATGAGGAAGTGTGGGTTGATTGACAGACTTCTCAAACGATGAGGATGCCCACTTGATGAGCAACCCCAAAACTGTGGATTCGAACGTTCTATTCAACCAAGTCAGCTCATATTCGATTCCATTGATCCATGAGCAGTGAAGGCTCCATTCCCCTGCAAGCCAAATGGAGATGGAAGAAATACGTACTTTGCGTTGCGCAGAACAAACACGATCACATCAGAAAACGTGTACAGCAGACGAGGGTAGAGCTCTGTAACAGCATACTGCCGCTTCGATTTGTCTGGAGAGTTTGCCCACTTGATGTCTCTCTGCGTGCTATGAAAGCTTTTGGACACCTTGCGGCGTCTACGATGCTCTCTTGGCGCATGATCCTCTTTTTGCTTTTCTTTTGGTGGTGCCGTTGCACTGTTTCGATATTGCGCGGCCATTGGTATGTTCTCGCCACCCTCTAGGCCTTCACAATCGGCGTAGAGCATGGGGTACTCAGTGGTATATGTGCTCGGATCACTGTACAAGTGAACGTCTCCGGAAGTGGGTACGTTACCATTGGCCGACGTTCCCGCAACGGGCGAAGGCAAAGACCAATCCCGAGGCAAGTGTGCACGTTCTTGTTGATCGATCAGCATCTTGATAAGCGTACTCTTCCCTGCTCCCGTTTGACCGATGAAGGACACTAACTGCGGATACCGAAACTTGAACTCGCCAGAGTTGCTGTCCGCCATGATGGCTGAGTAACGGCCATAATCCTGGAAAGCAGGTGAGTTTTGGCTGTTGTGTACCATGCCGAACCACGTCGTATCTTCATCCTCAACGTGCAACATTTGCTGTTCGCTATGCTCTTGAGGGGGAGTCAAAATGTCTTGCAACCTTTTGACAATTGCGGGGTTGGCTTTCTCATGCGGGAGACCATCAGGGCCAGTTCGACCTGCCTTGTGTGGGCCCTGTTTGCCCCAACACTGATCGCAGAAGTCCATGTCGCAGTATGAGCAATTCCATACTGGCGACTTTTCGACTTCACAGCTCTCACACAATCTTAGCTGCGTGTGCTCGATGTTCGCTTCTTGTCGATCGCGGGAGAGCGCATGTGATGGTTCAAGGGAAGTAGTCTTTGGCACATCCCTAAATGCACCAGCAGATAATGATCCTCGAGGTCGACCGAGACCTTTGAAGGATTCTGATTTCGAGGCTCTAACGACAGGGATTTCTGGTGTGTAGGAAGGAGGTCGTGTTGTCGGGTCGGGCGTTCTTCTGTATGGATTTGACATCTCGTCCAGAGGGTCCTGAAAATGTCGCGATTCGATGGAGAAAAATGAAAGAGGGTACAAGACGTTCTTCAGCAGGAAGAAGATGCGGGATCCTGTCCCCTAATAGCTGCTGCGCTCAAGGCTGAGTTTCAGCCTTGTCTGCAGAGTGCGTGAACTTGCATCAGGATATTGGATGGCTGAACCTAAGCGGGCCGGGGCCGCAACTTCGACGAATAGCAGCCACTGTAGCGCGAAATCTGGTCATAATCCGCAAGCCATCTGAAGCCATTGCTAGCTTCTGGACACTTCAAGCGAAGGACGTCCCAATGACAGCTGCAGCCGAACGACCCAAGGGAAGTCAGCTCGTGCAGCCGACCGCTTGCTGTAGGTTCGGGATGGCCTGAGGCTAAAGTTTGCTTTCCATCAGGTGCCGCATTTCAGGGTTACAGGGAGTCCTTTGATAGTCGATTGAGGCTCAATCCTTTGCGGCGAGGAAGCATTCGACCCGCTATTCGACAATCAGAGATAGTGGAAGAAAGGTTTTGAGATCTGTTGGCGATATCACGCTGACCATGCAAGGGTGCAGGGGGGGAGATGATCAGAATTCAAGTGGTTAGACAACGTCCGGACAAAATGTTTTGACGGATTGCAATTGGAAAAAGAAAAGACCTAGAGGCGAGACCTTTCCACCTTGGTGCGGCTGCTGGCGTGTGATCCAAGAGGTAGAGTGTTGGCGCTTAGGGTTGTGCAACGAAGCTTTGCGATCACGGAACCAGGAATATAAAGACCTGCCACAGAGGTATTCATACCGACAAACAACGGAATTTGGACCCCTCAATCTTTCGTCGTTGCTTAATCGCGCGTTCAGCACTGTCAAATTCAGTTGCAGATGTGGCCGGGCTGCTTTTGCCCTTCTTGTTGTATGTCAAGGCTCTTCAGCACCAACTACCCGGCCAACATCTTAAGCAGAGCTGGCATCGTGGGGCTGAGTACCGACCAGAACGGATTGTGGTGTGGCAACCTACATCTAACTGCCAGCAGACTTCGAAAAATGTATGCTGATGCGGTGATGGAGCGTTGTCTTTGTCATAGTGCGGTGACTGGACACATCTGAGTCTTGAGCCTTCACCTACATGCTGGCCTGCCTACCACGTCGTTAATACCTTCACGTCCACGTATAAATGCCGTGTGTAGTTCTGCTACTCAGGCATAAGTGCAATGTGCGTTCTCCAGCGTGTTGGTCTCTGTTCAGAGGGTCATTGTTAAAAGGTTTCAGAAGTGGCAACACCTCGTCACTCCGCACGGGCTACGCGTCTTGTCGTTGGGCACTCGGAGCAGTTCCTGTTGATGCGAGAGTATGCTCGATGTATACGTTGTCCAAAGCGCTGGTCGTGGTCAGCCAGAGTCGAGGTTGGTCGCGTCCCGGGTGTTCGCTCGAGCGATGACGTCGCGTGATCCTCACCGCCGATCTGAGCTTGTCGAAGCTTGAGTTGCCCGCACCAACTGCCCCTTCTCAATTTCCTAGCGACTTCCCCGGATCCATGAAGTCGCCATGGCACAAGTACAGCGCCCGTTGATCATTCAGTCACGTGTTATTAGAGCTTGCTGCCCACCTCTAGCGCGCAGGTCGCTTTTCTCTAGAAGAAGAACACAACAGCTACACACTAGGACAGTCACCGATCATGACATTTCACACCTTGCGAGCCTTTCTTTATACCCCTTGACACTCGCCGATCTTGTAAAGTAAGTGCGCTGAGGAAGAGTCATCTCATCGGAGCCCGGGCTGACTGTTGTCGCGTGCGCAGACATGGGAGACCTCCTCTTACAACCCAGCAATTGCTCACCTCCGCAAACTTCACACTCTCAATCTTGCCTGCACGACTTGCGCATCGTATACAATCGCTGCGAAACCTACCCTTCATCGTGGTCTCGAACCCTCACGTGTCGAAGATCCACGCCAACTACATACACAGCCTGTCGACGTTGCTACCATGGGCAGAACACGAGATCACGTCGCTCGAAGACGAGATCAAGTTCACAGAGGCCATGGCTGACCTTGTACAAACGCACGCAAACACCATTAGCATATTGGCGAGAGGGTTCTTGGAGGCGAGAAAGTACATCAGCCCCAGGGACGTGACACGCTTCCTGGACGAACATCTGCGTGCACGTATCGGCACGCGCCTGATTGCCGAGCAGCACCTATCACTGCATTTCTCGAGCCAACCACACGCCGAGGTCATGCACGAGTCGGATGAGACACCAGGATTCATCGGCGTGATCGATACCAAGCTGAAGCCAGCACGAATCGTCGACCATTGCGCGAACGTAGTCGGCGAGATCTGCGAGCTCAAATACGGCGTCCGACCCAGCGTAGTCATCAACGGTGAACCAGACTACACATTCGCCCACGTCCCCGCCCACCTCGAATACATCATGACCGAGCTCCTCAAAAACGCCTTCCGCGCAACAGTAGAGAACGGCAAGGAACGCGAGCCCATTGAAGTCACGATTGCGCCCAAAGATTTGCACGGAGCCACTAGTAGCGAGGAAGATTTCAACGCCAGGAACTCGCGCCTGCGAAACACAAATCAAGGCAACACGGATATCGCATCACAGAGCTTCACAGGTGCCCTCACCTCCTCGTCACCCAAGTCTGACGCCCAGATCCTTCCGCTGAAGCACAGCACGCCCGGTGTCACGATCCGTATCCGCGACCGCGGCGGCGGTATCTCACCGGAGAACCTTGCGCATATCTGGGACTACAGTTTCACGACCTTCAACGAGGATCAGGCGTCCTCTACACTCTCAGGAGGCGGCTCAGGCAGCGGTATGGACGCTCTGAACGCGATGACCGGCCCTGGTGGTGATGGGGCACACAGTCTGGCTGGGCTGGGATATGGATTGCCGCTGGGCAGGGCTTATGCGGAGTACTTCGGTGGAGGCATCGAGGTTAAGAGTTTGTGGGGGTGGGGAACGGACGTCTATCTTAAGTTGAGGGGCGTGGGGAGGGTGGACCGAGATCGAGAATAGCAGCGAGCTAAGCCACCTTCACGTCTAAAGTGGAAAAGGGGAGATGTCATCGAAGATGTTGTTCATGGTTATATACCCAAGCCTGCGCCTGTGCAAGCGCTATGCTTTGATGCATCAAGCCTTATCATGCCTCGTTATACCCATGTTCGGTCCATCGTTATGCTCGTTTACTGGGTCGTGACCGCAGAGTCCTTCTCGACGGTGATCTTGTCGTTGGACTCGAAGGTAGAGACGAGGTCGTCAGGGAGCTCGGCGCTGTTGTAGGCCTCAGCATATGGCTACTGAAGGAAGGTACGCAGAAAGGGGGAGGGGGGCAGGTGAGACGTACGTGAACCCCTTGATCAGCGAGAACTCGTGGGTGATCTTGCCGCCTTTGGACTCGACCTCCTTCTTTGCGTTCTGGAGCTCCTCGGGGGAGGCCTCGGGCTTGAGGGTGACCTATGCAGTATCAGTACACGCTCTCCATCGTCAAGTGCTGACACCACATTCCATCACGTACGTTGTAAGTAGTAGGCATCTTGGAGTAGTGTCTTGTGTTTGTGTGGAGTATCAGTGAAGGGTAGTGATTGCGGGGTGTTGATGTTGATTGTATATGAGTAGCACAAGCACGCGTCAGATAAGAGTCAAGGCATGCTTTATAGACTAACGTTCGGCCTATCCAGCGAGAGACCCTGCAACGTCTCAAGAGCCTTGGTTATGCGCGCTGACGGCCGACACGCACGTCATCGTTTGGAGTGAGCACCTGAGCAGCCCCTCGGTGGGGTCGACCAAGGGTCCGCGCGCCGCGTTCGCGCTTGCCGCCTATCGATAAGGAAGAAGGCGCATCCCTGTCTGCGCCGCTAGCGCGCCGGCTAGTTTAGAAATTTTAGTGGACGGAAGAGAAGGAGCTTTGCCGCAACGTCGAAACTCACGCGCCTTCCTTTTCGTGCAAGGTTGTTGAGCGCTGTTCTTTCAGGAAGCGTCTTTGAAGCAGGACGCATCCAGCAGTCGCAACCATGGCGGACCAGACGAACAGACCGCACAGGAAGGGCAAAGAGAAGAAGGCGCACTCTGGCGGGCCGAACCCTAAGGCTTTCGCATTTGCAGCGCCAGGAAGACTGGCGAAGCAGGGCGCGCGTTCTCAAGATGTATGCGCAGTTTATTGTTCTCTTCTCAAAGTCTCCTATTGACGAAAGCAGGTCAGGGAAAAGCGCCTCCACGTGCCGCTCGTCGACCGTCTCCCTGAAGAAGCACCCCCAATCATTGTCGCCGTCGTCGGTCCCTCAGGTGTCGGCAAAACAACACTGATCAAGAGTCTGATCAAACGCTACACCAAGCAGACGCTCTCCTCCCCATCCGGCCCCCTCACCGTCGTCACTTCGAAGCGCCGACGCCTCACATTCATAGAATGTCCTTCTGACTCGCTCGCCAGCATGATCGATATCGCCAAGGTGGTCGACATCTGTTTGCTCATGATAGACGGAAACTACGGCTTCGAGATGGAGACTATGGAGTTCCTGAACGTGCTCTCCTCGTCCGGTATGCCAGGAAACGTGTTCGGTATCCTCACACACTTGGATCTCTTCAGGAAGCAGGAGACGCTGAAGCTGCAGAAGAAGCGCCTCAAGCACCGCTTCTGGAGCGAGCTGTACCAGGGCGCAAAGCTGTTCTACCTCTCGGGCGTAGTCAATGGACGGTACCCTGATAGGGAGATCATGAACCTGAGCAGGTTCCTGAGTGTGATGAAGAACCCAAGACCGCTGGTTTGGAGAAACTCGCATCCGTATTGTTTGGCGGACAGGTTCCTGGACATTACGCCACCGACCGACATCGAACTGAACCCCAAGTGTGATCGCACGGTCGCGCTGTATGGATACCTACGTGGTACAAACTTCCCGGCAGGAGGGTCAAGAGTGCACATACCTGGTGTCGGCGATCTGACTGTCGCGTCGACTGAAGCGCTGCCAGACCCCTGTCCGACGCCGTATTTCGAGAAGCAGGCGGAGAAGATTACGGGCAAGAAGAAGCGTACGCGCCTGGGCGAGAAGCAGAAGATTCTGTATGCGCCCATGTCAGACGTCGGTGGTGTTTTGGTCGACAAGGACGCAGTGTACATTGATGTAAAGACAAACACTTTCAACACAGACGAAGACCCTGATCAGGAGCGCGGACTCGGAGAGCAGATGATGATTGGTCTGCAAGGGGGCAGGAAGCTGCTTGGTGAGGACGACCGGGGGTTCAGGCTGTTCAGCGGTGGTGAGCTTGTCAACAACCAGAACATCGATGACGACGAAGACGCTGGAAATACCGGGCGAAGGTCGCAGCGAAGAGCACGAGCTGCGGATGCCGACGAAATCGACGATGCCGACCTCGACGACATTGACAGCGATGATGACGAGCTCCAGCAGGATCACAGCGGTGACGAGGATGATGAGGACGATACAGGGTTCTTGGACACAAATGGCTCGTCATTGAGAAAGCCAAAGCTAGCGCGAAAGGAAGAGAAGGACGATGCGGCAGAAGAAGTGGCGTTCGCCGACAGCGATTCTGACCTTGGTTCGATATCCGGGGAAGAACCGGATCTGAGCGATCTCGAGAACGGCGACTTCGACTCTGAGGAAGAGGATGATGATGATGGTGCTCTGAACTGGAAAGCCAACCTTCGCGAGAATGCAGCCAAGATGCACGGACGTAAACGACCATACCGGATCGCAGAGCTGGGTAAGTTGATGTACAGCCTCGACATTGCGCCGGAAGATGTGATCAAGAAGTGGAAGGGAGATGAGGAAGAGGAAGACATTGAGGCGGATGAGGACGACGAAGATGGTTTCTTCAAGAAGTCGAAGGCGCAGGATGCGAACAACGAAGATCGTTACATTGCGCGCTTCAACTACAAAGAGCTGGCAAAAAAGTGGGAAGATGAGGAGAATATCGAGGCACTGAAGAGTCGATTCGCATCTGGCCATATGTCTGGAAAGGGCGGTGACGGCGAGGACGATGACTTTGAGGGCTTCGATGGTGAGGGCGACGACGACGAGGGTGACGGCGAGTTTGAGGATCTTGAAACCGGCGAGAAGGTCGGTGGCGACGAGCCTAACACCGACGCTGAAGCTGAGGCGGATGACATCGAGGCAGAGCGAGAAAAGAACGCGAAGCGGAAGGAGGAGCTCAAGTTGCGGTTCGAAGAGGAGGATCGAGAAGGTTTCATGAATGACAAAGCAGATACTCGGAAAGAAGGCGGCGCACAAGAGGAAGAATTCGGCGAGGACGATTGGTACGATGCTCAGAAGGCTTTGCTCAAAAAGCAGCTCGACATCAACCGCGCCGAATTTGATCAGCTGGACGAAGCCTCCCGCCAACGCGTTGAGGGCCACAAGGCTGGTACATACGCCCGTATTGTACTAGAGAACGTGCCTTGCGAGTTCTCCACAAACTTCAACCCGCGATTTCCAGTCCTCATCGGCGGTCTCACGCCAACCGAGGAGCGCTTCGGCTTTGTTCAGATTCGTATCAAGCGTCACCGCTGGCACAAGAAAATCTTGAAGACGAACGACCCCCTCATCTTCTCGCTCGGGTGGAGGCGGTTCCAGACCACTCCCATCTACTCCATCTCCGACTCGCGGACGAGAAATCGTATGCTCAAGTATACGCCAGAGCACATGCATTGCTTCGGTACCTTCTATGGACCGCTGGTGGCTCCCAACACAGGTTTCTGCTGTGTCCAGTCGCTCTCGAATAAGACACCTGGGTTCCGGATATCAGCCACAGGTGTTGTCTTGAACGTTGACGAGTCCACCGAAATCGTCAAGAAGCTCAAGTTGACAGGCCACCCTTACAAGATCTTCAAGAATACAGCTTTCATCAAAGACATGTTCAAGTCTTCCCTCGAAATCGCCAAATTCGAAGGCGCTTCAATTCGCACCGTCTCTGGCGTTCGTGGTCAGATCAAACGCGCCCTTTCCAAACCAGAAGGCAACTTCCGTGCCACCTTTGAAGACAAGATTCTCATGTCCGACATCGTCTTCCTACGAGCCTGGTACCCTATCAAACCCCGCCGTTTCTACGCCGCCGTCACCAACCTTCTTGTCCCACCTACACCTGAGGACAAGGAGGCAGGCGAAAGCACAAGCTGGACGGGCATGCGTCTCACCGGAGCTGTCCGCGCCGAACTCAACCTCCCCACACCATCGATTAAGAACTCCGCATACCGCCCCATCGAGCGCGAAGAGCGAAAGTTCAACCCTCTCCGCGTCCCACGCAAACTCGCTGCCGAGCTGCCTTTCAAGTCTCAGATCGCCCAGATGAAGCCGCAGAAGAAGGAGACCTACTTGCAAAAGCGCGCTGTTGTTTTGGGTGGCGAAGAGAAGAAGGCCAGGAGGCTTATGAACCAGGTCATGGCCATCAGAAACGAGAAGGTGGAGAAGAGGCGCGCAAAGCAGGAGGAGCGCAAGCAACCATACAAGAAGAAGATTGAGGAGAATAAGGAGATGAAGGAGGCCAGAGAAAAGCGCGAGAAGCAAGAGTACTGGCAACGTGAAGGCAAGAAGAGGCATCACCAAGGCGATGGTGAGAGCGGGCGTGGTGGTGGTGGCGGGAAGAGGAGGAAGTAGACAAGTTTAGAAGAGATGATCATTGGTGGATCTAGTATAGCATGTTGCATTGCATTGCATTGGTGTGGCGTTAATCCTTGGATCGGTCAGGGCAGAGCAAAAGTCAAACAGACACATTGAACTCAAAAACTCGTCATTCATTGTGCCTCATATCAGCCAGTATTGACCATAGCATCCATTCAGCCACTACTAATCGCTTGCTTCCGCCCAGGATCCCAACACCACCCGCTTCCCCTTCATCATGGCGCTTCCAGTCCGGAGGTCTCGCTCCTTAGGCATCTCGTGCCTCTATAGCGATTGGCTACAGATGTCGTGAGTGACCTCGGGTTGAGGAGGATTAGTGCAAGTGCCACTTACGACAGCGATGGTGCGAGTAGCAACGCCAGAGTACTGATGTTTAGAGTTTGGGTCGGTCAGAAAGAGGATGGTGAACTCCATTGCTGTTGGGATGGCGATGATTGGATAGTGATGGCGAGGCTTACACTTGGAAAGACTAGGACTTTTATGCTGAAGGAGAATCCTTAACGAGATATGTGATAGTTCGGTACTGGAGATGCGTTGCAGATGGTGACGAAGTGAGGCGCGTCTGCGAGGCTGATAGGTTGGCTTGGTCGAAAGATCTGAATGCTGACAGCGCATACATCTTGTTCAAGAATGCGTCCAGTAATTTCGGAAAGTCTGCTTACTGGTGGGCTTTGTCGCATTTTCGCAGCACTTATATAGGGTTCGAAAAAGCAAGATTCAAAAGGAGGTTTGATCGAAGGCGTTGGCAACTTTATGTACCTAGGTATGTAGTCACACCACCGCTTCCTGCCCTGACGACGCATCACTCAGTACCCTCTACACCATTGCGTCCCGGCTTCGCAGGTTTCACGGCATCGCGCTTCCAGCTTGGCCATGTCCCTGCTTCTGCTTCATCTTCAGCTTCGCGCTTCCAGCTTGGCCATGTTCCTGCTTCTGCTTCATCTTCAGCTTCGCGCTTCCAGCTTGGCCATGTCCCTGCTTCTGCTTCATCTTCAGCTTCGCGCTTCCAGCTTGGCCATGTCCCTGCTTCCGCTTCATCTTCAGCTTCGCGCTTCCAGCCTGGGGTGCTGGGCTCGGCGTTGCGCTTCCAGCTCGGCCATGTCCCGAGGGCGTGCGGCTCTCGAATATTGATGGTGGTGGACTGGGAACTTTGTTAGTATGAGACGTGCTTTTTGATGAGTGGGAAAGCGTACGGTTGGTGCGAGTGGAGTAGGTAGAGCCATGACGATAACGCTCATAGTCAAAGCGAGGGAGAGGATTGTGACTCTCATGATTGGCGATGCTGGCTCGGTATGATTTGGTGTGATGTGATTTGCGGATGATAGTGGATTTTTGGAGATGAACAGAACCTCTTATATGTGCTCGCGATGCTGTGTCCTGATGTTCAAGGTTCTCAGAGTACTCCATGCACAATCATTGTGGCTCTTTCTCAATTAGGAAGGGCCAAGCTAGATCGGTGGGTGAGGAAGATGACAGAGCATCACAGAGTCCTGGAGTGTACAAAAAAGGAAACTGTCCACGAGGATCTGACGATGGGTAATTGAATGGCTTCTCAGTGTGTGTTGGGTCACGAGCGGTAAGTGGTGGACATGGTCCGTTGTCGTGGCTTGAAAGTACTGGAAATCCTGACTGTGCGTACTCGTTCTGTTATCATGAAATCCAATGCCTTATAGTGCGTTTCAGCGCGCATGAGATAAGTGATAGTTGGATTGATGAATGTCTGTTGGTCGCACAGTCGAATTGACCTCGGGATGTGAGACATTATTGTACTGTCGAACTGTTACTTCTTACTGCGATAATCAGACATCGAAGAGGATATCTACGGAGACCTTCTCAACTTGTACTGACTGGCGAATGTTGTTGACTGCATCCAGAGCTGTTCCAATCTTCTAATGAGCTTTCTCCAAATTACCTGAAGCTTATCCACTGATTCTCATGCTTTCAGTGTCGACTTCCTGTGGAAGCTTCTAAGACCTCCGAGTGTAGAGCGGACGTACCGGTCAGGTCAACAATTAACTCACAATGTAGTAAGCTGATGAAAGCTTGGGCATTGTTGTCGATGGTGTTCTGCACCGCCACCTGGCTAGCGCCAGGCGATGCTGAATTCATTATTGTAACGGTACTGAAGATAATCGGTATTGGGCAATGGATATTGAGGTTCACTGAAGTTGTATTGTACTCAAGCCGTGTGGTTATATACTGTGAATGAACGGAAAGAAGAACTGACCATGAAGCTGTTATGTTACTGATACTGTTTGAAGAAGTCTGGTCCAGTCGGTCCTTTTACACAACCTCATACAGTGCTGTAACATGACCTCTTACTGTACTGCGACAATTATTGGTACTTGCCAAAATGTATGGACCCCCCTAAGTCTGGGGCACTAGCCCATATTCCCTACATCATGCAGGAGCGAGAGCTCCCGAGTGATTGTATGTCTTTGGTTCAACAGATGTGATACATTGGTAGATCTACTGCAGGACATAAACGTGGATAATGACCACTCACAACCCCTGTCCGCACAGCGAAACCACGGTGCGCATGTAGTATCTGTATCAAGGTCCCAAATTCAGGGGGGTCCATACATTTTGGCAATCATTATAGTCGGAACGCTCAAAGGTCCAAAAAATATAATGCCTCATCCTGAGTCCCGTTCCTGTCTGGATGAAGTCGAACCTGCTTCTTTCGCCGTTGGTAGGCTATGTCTTCCAAGGCTTCCTCAGCAAGGCGTACACAGATAAGATAGACCATATCTAGACCCCGGCTGTTGCGTGCACGGTAAAAAGGAAACGCCTCGTATAATGGTTCCGAAATGTACACACCCACCTGAACTTGGTTCACTACTGCCACAGATTTACTTCATGTAAGAATGCAGGCTTCTAAGTGGCTGTTTATATCTTGATTGAGAGAAATGACAGTCTGGTACATGTCCTGCAGGGCAACAACGTGGTGAATGACCACTCACAAGGCTGTCCGCCCTCATGAATTACGGTACGTACCTACCGTACGCATCAATGTACCAAGGTCAGGGGGGTCTGCACATTTTTGCAGGCACCAATATTGACGTTCTACTAAATCTGAGAGTTCAGTAAAGCGTGACAGAGACGCCGCTTCCCTTTGCGTGAGGTATCGCATCGACGAGGGAATATAATTCGATTTCATCACGATGTACGATCAGTGCTTTTTCCTGCATATATGCATATAAATGATGATGTTGACCTCTTTGTTCCGTACGCTGATTCGATTACCCAATCCTGCTTTTCACATCGCAGCATATTTCTCAACTTGTTAGAGAATTTTGTCCTGGTACCGCAAGTATTGCGGTGCAATCTACATAAAGCTGGCGGACTTTACTTGAAATAAACTAGATACCAATCGCGGACTGCTCCCGGGCAGAAGTCCACATCTAACCCATCCCCCTTGAGGTGCAAGGTAACTAGAATTATTTGTTCTGGCAGAGCATCACTGACGGGGTCTAGTGAATTATATGCCTGACTTCACCTCGTCGTATTCCGTTCAGAATATCTAGCCAAGTTCTCGAATGGTTTCGGAGCCCCTGCTCTCGTGCTGAGCTTCAGTTCTCTGCGCCCTGTCATGTTGTGCATGATGCAGAGGTGGCATTCACCCTGCCACAAGGAGGATCGACATGTTTTTGTGGGGATCACCGATACTTACGTCTTTTTGGTGAAGCAACCGCGTCTAGATCATTGCTTGTACCGTGTTGTAAAAGTCTCCGGATCAGAGTTCACCTACGTCACCATCCTTGTCGGCCTCTTCGTATGGGCATTCCTAGGCATTCCATATGGAACGGCTAACACATACAAAATCATCATCCCAGATGCGCAAGCCATTATTAGTTTTGTCTTTGACGCCTTCCTGATGCGCAAGCAATTCAATCAACATGACAATCTGCTCATTGTCGCTGGGTCTCTACGCTCCCGCGTCAGCAGTCACAAATGTATGATTGGACACCTTGTTGCGACTAGAAAGTTTCTCAAGATCGACGCAATCAAGTTCCAGACGCCTCTTGTAAGGATGGTATTAACCAGGTTTCCGCAGGAGAACCGACTGACGAGGAGGTCAAGCGCCATATCATTGTTCCTCGGCCATATCGGCACTGTCCTTGGCTTCTGGTGCTATATATTCACCTGGCTATGATTTGGGCCGTACTGCGGATGGTCAAGCGCCTGGCAGCTTTACATCAATTCTGCAACTTCAGCGCTCATGGTGCTCCTGTTGGCGTTCCTTGCGAACGTTCGGGAGCGACACAGCCGTTACCAGGCCGAATGTCTCACAGCTATCTGGAAAGCTGATTCGGCGCTTGAGCTCAGGCTTCGCGAACTAACCCGCGACCGAATCGAAAATCCTGGGGTTGTTATGCACGAACAAAAGTGAAGCAACATCCAGCGCCCGATCGATTCTTACGCAGATTTGGTCGGAACCCTTGCGGGCGAAGCGATTCTGATCCTCGTTATCATTGTTTGAATTTCGTGCGGTCCCGCATTGCACTTCGATTCCAGTAGGTGGCTCCTGATGGGTACATATGCCGGACTCGTGGGCTTTAATGATGGCCTCGTGCTGCGTAATATCTGCCAAGTTTTGGGAGACTACAAAGACGAACAATCTGTCCAAGGCAATGCTCCGGACAGGTAACTTAAGAGCACATGGACTATTAGCGTCAACATTGTTTAGCGCTTCAGTGCTATCTGTACTGAGGTATGAACGGGTACTAACTGTGTATGCTCTTTCCAGTCATGGACGCTGAAGGAAGGTGTTGATCTGCACAAGTGGCAGCGATCCTTCCCACAATTATCTCCCCACGCCCTTGTCTCAAGCATAGCCACAGCTTCCCTTACAAGGCAGCTTGCTTCTCATATGATGTTCCTGATTAAGTCGGTATAGTCAATGTTCTCAATATGTTACTTGTGTCTTCTTTGTCGCCGAAGCATGTTTCCCTAGCGGGATCCCGTCTTTATCGCAGTCTCGCTGCGACAGCATAGTAGCTGACCAACCTCACCAACCCCGCATTATTCACATCATCGAATCAGTGTATCTTCACCCTACCAATTTCTACCTTCTTTGCGTAGGAGTCCTTGTTCGTCACAACTTCATTTGTCACTCTTAGCAGTTACGTTAGCCCTTGCCGTTATTTAGACCTCAAAACCATTCTCCCAGGTCTTTGCACTCTTCACATACAAGATCAATGGAGAAAGTAATTCTCTTCTTCTATGTTCTCCTCGGTGTAGGTTTTCTTATCGTAGTACTCTGGATTGTAGTCCGCATGCGCCAATACGGGCATCTCTGCTTTGCATCACGTCACAAGACCGCTGATGTAAAGCGAGGCTACGCCTTGTCAGAGTTTCCGTCCACTCACCAATCGTCCTCTGAGACGCTAGTCAAACGAACCTCCCACGACTGCAGGATCGGTCGATAACCAGCCAGAAACTGAAGGTCGCCCCGAACCGCGACGATTCGGAGGTAAGAAGGATCTGAAGCCGCTTCAACTTGCTAACATGATGCGAGAGGAGATCAGTGGAGGGTGCGGAGGGTTCGTGTTACGCAACGGGAGCGCGTGGAAAAGGGTGATGAAAGGGGTTTGGGGACTGAAGATGCCGCAGTCTGCTCGGTAAGATAGATGTGAGGTGGTTTCGGTGGGTTCCCTTCCCATTTTTAAAGCTCAATTCATTTCTAGAATGCTCTTCTCGATTCCGTGTGTACCTTTTTGTTCTCTTCTTGTTATTTCGTGATCTTTCGAGATGCCGGTTTGCGTCGATTCGAGATTGTTTCTGGCATGCATGTGCATTGTACATTAACAATGGCGCGAGTGAAACAAGTGACTTCACAGTGAAGTTTTGTGGGACTGCGTATTGATTGTGTGTAAGTTCACTGGTTTTCGCTCAAACTATACTGTTCCACTCAGTCTAATCAGCTCTCAACTGATGACTCATACCGCAGACCTGTCCCTCCCACTCGACCTTAAATGTCGAACCTGTTTCACTTACGGAACGTCTCACCTCTACTGAGTATCTCATCTCTCAGGCGGCAAACTTGCAGGCCTTCTCGTTGGCTTGACGCTGGGAATTTCCGCGCTGTTGAGAGCTTTGTTCGTATTTCTGCGATATCGAAAGAAGATTGCTGCAAAAATCTCCGGACGGAAGAAACGAATCCACCTTCTGATTGGAATGGTCGTGGCTGGGATTTGGCTGTTTGGCCCGCCTATGTTTCAGGAGTGACGCGCAGATGAAGAACCAGATCTTGAAACTGGGACTGTGCCTTTGGATCCGACATCTGCTAGTCCATCGGCCGTACGGCACGTTTAGTCTAATACTCTAAAGTAGCTATGGTCAGACATTTTCTTAGCCGTTATGTCATCCTATCCTCTGCAAAATCCTGCGTTCGTGCAATGCGATGCATTATCAAATACTTTGACTGACTTCACAAACAGAGCATTAGAGAACGTGTTAGAAGTTACCAAACATTATGTGCGAACAGCATAGCTTAACGAAGCTAGCCCTGCTTCATTATAGCAATTCGTTTAGCCAAAGCCGTATAGTGCTCCTTTGAAACTAGACGCAGCTTCTATTATATCGTACCGGACTAGTGGCCGTTCATTTTAGTAGAAATACAAACCGCAAGTCTCGTTAATTTGCGAACCAGGGCCTACATTATCTTTAAAAGCATTCTACCGTCCAGCTGGAAGATGACATATCTGCCTAGCCTGACAGCAGATTTGAGCAAGTCACTACCTGCGGAGTCTAAACTCAGTAAGCCAGAGGCTAGCAGAAACACTACTGATACAGGTCATAATGAGCGTAATGAAGTCTCTCGCTCATCAGATATTGTAGCGCGGACCGTAGGGCTCAATCGCAATTCTTTGCCGACTCATCCGTTGTCGCCCGGTGTACTCAGCGAGTTCCCTCCATTTAAATACACAACGCCACCAGTGCGCCCTCAACCTCATCCCTTGCAAGTAGCAGCGAAGCTAGCACTGGGCTCACAATGTCTGGACAAGGAAATGTTGCCACTGACCTTAGTATACGAGTGAGAAAGCTCCAATGAGAAGTGCCGAACGCCGCTACTGACGCTCTCTCAACTGTCAGCCTCGAAGGACATTGAGCCGTGTCGTAGCCCGAGTTCCGAGAAGCGAGGATAGTAGTAGGTGACTGGAAGTCAACTTGATGTAAATTTAGAAGCTCTTGAAAGGAAATTCTCCATGAACCTTCATCTTCCTCTTTTCTGGTCCCAGCGCTGCGAACAACAAAAGTTCCCTCATTCGATCTCCACAGATCTAAGCGCATCAATAAAGGCTATCTCCTTAGTATCCACACAACTTGAACATGTGAGTGCAGCCTCAAGATTAAACGGTGAGGCCCCTCACATATCTCTGCAAGATTGATCCACAATCCGGGTAAATACCCTGGCTGGCTTGATAAATCAGCACCTTTTGCCCGGGGCCCCGCAATCAACGTCAATCTATTTGGACAAATGACCTTCTCGAGCGGCAGCAGCCGAGGCTTCCATCAAGTGTTCTACCGGGCCGATCATGCGTACCTTACATTTCGCACACCGTTTCATCCAATAGAAACGAGGACAGACCCTGAGCATCGACGTCCGTGGAATGACCGAGATCCTAGATTTCGCCGCACTTGTGCATCCGCGGCATCCTAAATGAAAGTGTCAAAATGTGTCTGCCACAGCAAGCAAGAAACAATACGGAAGGCTGATCCTCATTTCCGTCTTAGAGGCAAAGCTTGAGTATAAGAGGAGATGTCTTTGTCCTGCTCTTGTATCATCACGCAATCCCTCGTGACAATCTCATTCACCATGGTTCACTACAGCATCCTCGCGTCTGCTCTCTTGAGTGTCGCTGCCGCACAGTCCCTCGGCAAAGGCAAGGAAGTGCATCCCAAGCTCACTACCTATGAGTGCACCAAGCAGGGAGGCTGCAAAGCTCAAGACAGCTACATCGTTCTCGACGCCGCCATCCACTCGATCCACCAGAAGAATGATACAACCAGGGGCTGCGGCAACTGGGGCAGCGGGGCGGACCCGGCTGTGTGCCCCGACGAGAAGACGTGCGCGAAGAACTGCATCCTAGATCCAATCAGCAACTATCACGACTATGGTATCTTCACCAATGGTGCAAGTCTCCGTATGGATTTCTATGGCAAGGACAAGAAGTTCCAGAGTCCTAGGGCGTACCTTCTCGGCAAAGCCGAAAAGGACTACGAGATGCTGAAGTTGACTGGCAAGGAGTTCACCTTCGACGTCGATGTGTCGAAGCTGCCATGTGGTATGAACGGCGCACTGTACCTTTCCGAAATGAGGGCAGACGGTGGCCGATCGAATTTGAATCCCGGAGGTGCCAGCGTCGGTACAGGATACTGCGATGCTCAGTGCTTCGTTACGCCCTGGGTCAATGGTGTCGTAAGTTGTCAAACTTGATATTTTCCACGTATATACTTATGACCCGTAGGGTAACATCGATGGATCTGGCGTCTGCTGCAACGAAATGGACATTTGGGAAGCCAACAGCCGTTCCACCCAGATTGCACCCCACACCTGCAGCAAGCCCAGCCTCTTCAAGTGCCAAGGCGCTGAGTGCGGAGCCAACGGCCTCTGCGACAAGAACGGCTGCGGAAAGAACTCCTACCGTAACAACGCGAAGGACTTCTACGGTCTTGGTCTCAAGATCGACACCAAGAAGCCCTTCACCGTGGTTACCCAGTTCCCCGCCAAGAACGGTGTTCTCCAGTCCATTGAGCGCAAGTACGTTCAAAATGGCATCGTCTTCGAGGACCAGCCCAAGAACATTACCTTGAATGACGCCACCTGCGCTGCTAGTGGTGCCGACACGTTCATGAAGTTGGGTGCCATGAAGGGAATGGGCGATGCGCTGAGCCGTGGTATGGTATTGGCGATGAGTGTTTGGTGGGATGAGGGCGGCTTCATGCAGTGGCTTGACGGCGGAGAGGCGGGACCCTGTGATGCCACTGAGGGTGACCCAAAGAACATCGTCAAGGTGCAGCCTGCGCCTTCCACAACTTTCTCCAACATCAAATGGGGAGAGATCGGGTCGACTTTCAAGGGTAAGAACCAGTGGACTGCATAGACATGTAGTGTTCATGGAGAGATAGACCTTACAAAGTAACGAAGAAAGCTTAGAGATGGGGGGTAACGCTCCAGGCGCCGGGGGTATCGGTACGTCGGAGGAAACGAGATTAGGAGGCGCGTGGTCCGTGCCCACGCGGTT